ATTTTCTTGAAAACTTACAATGAAAGTGTGTTTTTCAGTCTAAAAGTGTATATAAAGTATACATACACACACACAGTGTATATATACAGTATATATATAAGCCTACAATTGGTGATTCAAATTGAGAAGTGTATCTAAGCTTCTTGAAAATTAGCATTAGCAACACTTAAGGTCATCAAATTTTTTTCTTAACAATAACAAAGAACTACAGTATAACATCATGCTGGATGTAGCTTGCTACCAGAACATAAAGTATTTACATCTGTTCTAGAGTTAAAAATTACTCTGAGTGTCTCTTCTTCTTGTTCCCAGAACAGGATTACTGCTCAGCTGTCAGAAAGAGCATGTCATATCTAAAAATAAGCCCTAGAATGCAGGGTTTAGGTCAGAGAGAACAGAAGCTGGAAATTGTTTCCTCTAGTGACTTGATTTACTTTAACCAAATCCCTCTCCTACTGTAAGAGCAGATTTTCGCGGCAGGGTCACGCAGCATCTGTCACAAGATATGATAACTTCTTTACATTTGAAGGTTTCACAGCAGCAGCAACCATTTTGTTGTCCTCTAATAAAACATCCAGTATGCTATTACACTCATGTGACTTTTCTAGTTTGTCGACTTCATTAACAGTGTAATTTGGTACATTGTAGTTTCTTTTTTCCTGTTTTTTTTTTCCTTTTTAATTGTTAATAGTCATTAGTTGTTAATAAGTTGTTACATTCATGCAGATTTTGGCACAATTTCTGTCTTAAGTCACTTAGATAACATGATGCTGTCATTTTTGGACATCTCTGGTGTTGCTGCTATTTTCACATATCCTTTACTGTAAAGATGTCAACAGCTGTATATTGTTTTTTTGTTTTTTTTTCAGATGCACAGTATTTATATTGTAAAAAAAAACACTGTACAATACAGTATTTTATTTGTTTATCTTTTAACCCTGTCACTCATTCTGTTATTTTTTTATGCACCTTTTAAGGTCCACATTTGTGTAACTACTTTTGATGTAATCTTTTGCTGTTGTAACACCACAATTTCCTCATTGTGGGACAATAAAGGGATTTTCTATTCTTCTATTATATTCAAATAGATTTCAAAAGCAGACAAAGACAACTTGAAAAGATAAAAAATAAGCTGCATGCAAAAGATTAATACTGTTGTTATTCAAAATACCACCATACCCTGATCTTGAGAAAATCACCAAAGGATGAGGTAGGAAAATAATTTGGAAAGGGTTGCAAAACTATTTATTTGCCTTTGGGATGCCAGGGTACCATAGAGAGCCATTAACCACAAATGGAGTCAGCCCTGTTTTTTTCTTTTAGTATTATTTTTATTACTTTTGCTTTTATAATTTTATACTGAATTTGTTTGCATGTTGTAATGAAGGCATAAGACACTTAACAGTGACCATGAACCCAATCTTTCAATATACTGAGCCACAGTAAACATTTTTGTAGGTGTTGCCCATCCTCCAAAATGACTTAAAATGTGTATTGTTCGCCAGCTGTTGCGCCTCCTCTCTGTAGTCTTGGTCGTTGTCGTCTCCGATGAGGCCCACCACTGTGGTGTCGTCTGCGAACTTCACGATGTGGTTGGTGGTAAGCCTGTGCTTAGGATGACGACATCAGAGATGTTCTGCTCGACCAGGACTGACTGAGGTCTGTTTGTGAGGAGGTCTAGCAGTCAATTGCAGAGGATTGTATTTAATCCCAGCAGTTGTAGTTTCCCTATCAGATGCCGTGGGATGATGGTGTTGAAAGCTGAGTTGAAGTCCAAGAGCAGCATCCATACTTGGCTGTGCCTCCCGGTGTGCTAGGCTCAGGCAAAGAGCAGAGGAGATGGCCTCCTCAGTGGAGCTTTTCCGTCAGTAGGCAAACTGGGACAGGTCGAATGTTGGGGGGAAACTGGAGAAAAGTTGTTCTTTAACCAGCCTTTTGAAGCACTTCATCATGATGGGAGTCAGTACGACAGGCCGGTAATCCTTGAGTGAGGTGACCTGAGGCTTCTTTGGGACTGGAATAATGGTGGCAGACTTAAAGCATGCCGGCACTATGGATTGATCCAGCAAGGTGTTAAAAATGTCTGTGAGGACACCAGCCAGCTGACCTGCACACTCCATGAACACCTGCCCAGGTATGTTAAGAAACCTAAGGCCTTTCTTGGGTTGACTTTCCTCAGTCTTCGACACATCAGGGAGGCGGAGTGCCTCCCCTCCCTGATGTGGAACAGGTCTCACTGCTGGAGTGCAGTGAGGGCCTAAAACCTTCCAAAGAAGTTGTTTAGTCCATTCAGGAAGTGAGCATCAGCTTCAATCACCGGGGAGGAGGGTGTGCTGCAGTCTGTGATCGCCTGTGTACTTTGCCACTTCCTCCTGGTGTTGCTGGTGTCGTGGGAGATATACTGGATCTTCTTGTTGTGGTTCTGCTTTGCTGATCTGATGGCATGGTTCAAAGCTGCATGACTGATTTCTAACCTGCTCAGCACCTCTCCTTATGTGCCCTTTACCTTTACCAGTATTAACAGCAAATAACCCTTTTAGTAATCTGTGCAAAATTAATTTAGTTTTAGCAAGCCATTTCATCAATTAAAGATTTCCTCTCCCCGTATCAGTAACATTTATCTCACCAGGCACCAAACTAACAAGTTTCTACAGATTTTATGGTTCTCAGACATCTTGATGAATTTAGCAAAGGTAGAAAAGGTTTGTGATCCACTAGGGTAGACCATGATTAATTAATATAGGGGAAGAGCTGATTTTTTTATTTATTTTGGCAATGCCTGACAAGAGAGAGTGATATTCCTTTTAATTTGTGTTAAAAAGAACGAAAAGTTCCTATCTTATGTTTTTCCATGATAGGATGGGATTTTTTACCATTCTGCTGACATGTTTTAGTTTTAAATAAATTTTGTACTACCCGATTTAAAATTTTTCATTCAAAGCAATTATTAAGTCAAGAACTGCCTCAAACACACTGATATAAATAGATTCTGTGTTTTATCCCCTCAAGGCTTAACATCTGTGAGCCAAAGCATATTAAGAAGACTGGCACACAGCCAGTGGGATCACAAGTTAAAGCTGTGCTTCTTAGCACCTGGAAGCATATGAATCTAAGCATGATTTATTTGCATAGTCATTCAATGAGTTTATGTATTCTTTGGAATACTAACAACCATTTGCGGTCTATTATTTTACTCTACAGGCCATCAAGGAAAAGAAAAGTATTTGTTCGAATAGTTAAGTTTCATTCAGTACTGCTGCAAGCTTTGCATTTGTGAAAAATGTTGTGATATAATTAGGCTCTGGGGAGTGTCAATCAAAAGGTAGATTAGAAAGCACACCTTTCTGGTGATGGAATGAGACAATCGAAATGTCCATAAAATACAGGAAAAAAATCCTTTTTGTCTCGAAGCATGTTTAAAACCATACATATGGATGAACCACATATACAAAGGAGATATTGGATGCAACATAATATGAAAATATTTGCATCGGGGATGCGTGGCTTACCAGTGGCTCGGTCTGTTTTTCTTTAAATGGTGAAAGTACAACAAGCCCAGAGATGGAGCTCAGCAAATTCAACATAAAAACCCCAAAACAAAACAAAAAGTAATTAAGGGCCATAAACAAGTATAGCAAATGTAAACATTTCTTTGTAAATAGCAGCTTTCCCACTCTGGCTTCTCTTTTACAGTACCTGAAATAAATAACCTTCAGAGAATACCCTCTAATAATTTAAACTTGAATAAATTTAGCATACATCATATGCAGAGTAATACAAATCAGCAAGAATATAACAACTCATTAGATATTACATTTTTGTTTTGTGGTTATAAAGTGTTTGCATTTTTGCCACAATAGATATGCGCAAGTACATGTTCATACATAAGAAAAAATCTGTTTAGCTCATTAATCCCATAAAAAGTGACATTATATACTATAGATTGTTTTTATACATTTTATATTTTCTTGATTACTCAAACTACAGTCGGGAAAAACATTGATTTTTTTTTATATAAAACCAAACAATAGATACATTTCTTTCCAGGAGGGACTTCATCCACAAAGAGTAATTAAAATTGAAAAGGGAAATGAATTTAAGAATTGAGTTTGCATTTACAAGTTTTCTGCTATTGATGGATTCAATGCTAAAAAAAATCTACCACCAGTAGATGTATGCAGGACGTGGAGTGAAACGTCCTTCATAACATGAATTAAGCAAATCCTAAACCGGAAACCTGAGAAGCATACTACCCCAGGCCAGAAGAAAAAAAATATGAGGACTGGCACTGTGATATAAATTCCTCTTTTTAGAGAAAATGTGCAGACTTTACAATTGAAATTTCTTTTTGATTAATTTCATAAAATTAAAAAATAAATATAGTGTCATTTGTTTCATGGAAATGAACAGAGACATTGAGATAAACGGAAACATGACAAACAATGTTTTTTCATGGCTCGACAACAGAGGTAGAAATATTTTAATCATCATATACCCATTAAATAAGACCTATACTACACCAGCTTGATAAAAGATCAACTAACCATCAACCACTCAGCCATCAACATCCAGTCATTTTGACCTATGCACATACAAAGGATTGTTGGAAAAATAAACATGTGACTGATTTTATGGGGTAGAAGCACATAATGACCAGCAAGCAGAACTACAGCGGCGTAGTAGTAAAAATTGATGCTCCATTTTCTCCATTTTCAAATAGCCAAAAATCATGAAATGAAAATATGTTGAAGGGACTGAGACAGAAGGATTTTTTTTTTCTATCCAAAATAAAGATGTTGCTGTTATTGCACAATATGCTCAAATTATTATCCCTACCCTTAATTTACTGAAATACTATAAAAAGACTTTGGTAATACAACCATAAGAATCTCAGCTGTTTTTCTATTGTTTAGGCTTTTTGTTGTTTCCCCATTACTACCCTGACACACGTCTTAAAACTAACCAATGATGAAAACATGTTTCTAATTTGCTTCTTTTAGGGAGATTCTGCAAGAAACAATGGCTGCTGATGAGGAATATCACAGAGAGAAATGGATTTGGTTTGGAAATGAAGCTGAGAGGACTGAGATAGATGTGATGAGAAACCAGCAAATGTTGCGCAGTCGTGTTGACAAAGTGGCCCTTCGCAGACAGGTATAAATATATATATATATATATATATATATATATATATGCTTGAAAATAAAAATAAATAGATGTGGACACTTTCTTGCAAATGTAATCCCTTGAACTTTCAGATTTTACATGTATTCCACTATATTTCATTTGCTGCATGAAAGACTAATACTGGGTAGTGCTAAATTGGAAAGAAGAAAAACATGAAATTATTTTGAAGGTTGTTTTTTTTTTTCCCAAAAAAAAAACAAACTGCAAAGTTTGGCCTAAAATATCCACCTCCCCTGAGTCAATACTTTGTTTTAGGGTAAATAGGATGTTAAAGGTATACTGTAGAGCAGTGTTATATTTCTGTCACATTTACCATTTTGAGGCAAACCCAATTGATTCATTTTAAAAGGCACTTTAATTATTAGCCCCTATGTGTTCTTCATATGAAGAAAGAAAAAGACCTTAAAATTACATTATTCAATAACATTTCAAAGAATTTCTGTCAAATGGGAACGACAGAAAAATCTTATATTTGTGTGGGTTTTTTTTTTCTTATCTGTCAATTATCTACATTTCAGGCAGAAAAAAAGAAATCTGCCCACATCAAGTACTTGGAGAAGCTGAGTCAGAAAGCTCCAGACTTTTCTGTCCCTCTGAGAGCTCACACAGTCTGGGAGGGAATGACAGTGATGCTCTCCTGCGGAGTCCAGGGCTGTCCACCCCCAAAGGTTGAGTGGTATGAATGATCATCCAACTTTCCTGCACCTCACTCTTACATTATCTTTTGAGTGTTTTTTGTTCTTCTTTATTAATGATATTAAGTTTAAGTTGTTTTAGTTTATATGTAAACTAGAGCCGTGTGTAGCAGCTACTGGCAAACTATAAATCAGAATCAACTGGCCAAGTTTGTGCACCGAGGGTTTTTTACCTCAATTTGATTTGCTCTTAGTGTGCATACATTTTGAATAAAGATATAGAAGCTGGGTGGGAAACAAAAAGGGATTTTAATGCAAATATGTACAATGTGTGTATTTTTAAAGCATGCAATATTCTTTAGTGAATAAAATACATAACTTTCCTTCCAAAAAATAAAAAGCAAATAAAATGCGGTTACTTCTATGCAATGCAGTAATAAGTGATACAGCACTGCAGGGTTTGTAACTATTAGAGACATACATTTATAAAAGGTGCAAAAAAATATGAGAACAAAAATCAATTAAAAGACCATTAGTGTGCTGAAGAAAAGTCAAGATACTTTTCTTCAGAGCTGTGAGGTCCCCAAGCTGAATATTGCACTCTGTATTAATACAAAATTAGCTCTGCAAATTCAGGAAGTTTGCCAAACTGTTGACCCTGAGACCTGAGTTGCGATGAGACTAGCTGATGAAAGGGCTGAGGATACTCAGTATTCATGAACATTGAGATCAAGATAACCTGGTTCATGAGTTTGACCAACGCATCTGGGACCCATCAAGCCCAATGAGCTGCAAAGGTCTGCGCTCAACAAAACTCGGCACATGAGAGAATAAAAGATCAAAGGCTTCTCTAGTGCTCTGTACATTTATTCAAACTCTACCTTGATTTAGAAGGATGGAGAAACACCTGGTCTGTAAAGAGGAGCATGCAGCATCAAAACTTAGCTTTTGTTTTCAATGAAGCCTATTTTCTCTTTTTTAAGGTTTAAAGATGGTAAACCACTGATAACATCTCTCCTACCATGGAATTACAGCCTCCAAGAAAAATTTGGCCTCAGTCTACTAGAGATCAGAAGGTAGGTCCAAGGTTAAAAGATTTATTAGTGCTGAGTCCTTTGCACACAAGGCTGAAGATATTATTGAAAGATTTGCTGCTGAACTTAAAAAAGCAGAACCAATATATCCCATTTCCCCTCCTCAGATTCTCTTCTTATTTATATGATCCACATGGGGATTTTTGTAGTTATTTAACATTTATTATGAATATTTTTTTGACTGTATTCTTTATTATCTAAAAAGGTGCTCTCCTGAAGATGCTGGCGAGTACAAAGTAGTTGCCAAGAGCTCCCTGGGTGAAGCTTCGACATTTGGAACCTTAGTGGTAAACTGTGAGTGAGCCTATCTTTCACATAGACATGCAAGTTCCATCTTTCTGCAAACTATTATGAAAAACAAGATGGATACTGAAATAATGAATAGATCAGTGTCATTTTGGTAAGGAGATACTGAAGGACTGGTTTTCCAAATATCAGACGAAGAAATTCTCAAATGTGAAGTACCATACAAACTCCCCAGAAATAGCCTTTGCACAGACATGTTGCTGATCTAATAAAATATATTCGCTGATGAATATCAAAATCTTACAAGCCACAAATATAACTCTAAAATAATACACTTTCTGTGTGTGGAGATTCGGTAATTAATTGGCAACATTGCCCCCTAGTGTCTGCATTGCAAAATATTCACAAACCAACAAATGTGCATCTCATTAAATTTGAATATCTGAATAAATTTGTCTTTACAGATAGTGGGAGATGTATATTTCAACTGTTTTTTGTATTAGTTTTTAACATATTTTTATAAAATAATTATATATTATTATATCTTATGACTCACATATAATGAAAACTTCCAATTCAGTTTAACAGAAAATTAAGAATTGCATGAGACCAAAGCAAAATGATTTGTAAAATAGAAACTATACCTGATTGCTGCATTATGGTAAACATAACCATGAGGAATCCTTTGGATTTGACTTTTGCCCAGCAGTAACTGATGCTCTGCATAAAAGGGTTAAACTAAAAGTATCCATTTAAGAAGCTGAAGAAGCTTTTTGCAGACAAGTGTCTCAAAGCAAAGCATGGTAATGGATGAAAAAGCTATGGTAGAAAAAAGCAGCAGGAATAACAACTACAATGAGAAGATTTATAAGGAAAGTCCATATAACATATTTGGTGAAATTTACAAGATTATAGTTGGTGCTTTAAAAGCCACCACACAGACGAAAATAAGCTCAACATTTTCTATATAGAATAAAACTATCTCAATGCATACAGAGTGAACTTTCACTTATAGCCACAAAAATGGCAAAGAAAAGTCAGAACAAAGGGCAAACATTTCAGCTGCAAAAAAAGGATTTACTCACCAATGACTTAAGCACACAGTTGTGTGATATGCACTCCTACTGCAGAGCAGCAGCCTGTCAAAGGGTTAAGATACCAATTTACAGGGAAATTTCCAACTAACTAAATACAATTAAGCAAAAAAGTACATTTTAGAGCTGAAAATGTCATTGAACCATCAGTGATGAGTAAGTTAGTTTCTCACCTTAAGAGTCTGATCCATGATACTTATATAAATGCAGATTTACATTTTGGTTTCATATTTTCACACTGGGGTCACAGAATGTCTCTGTGAAGATTTCAGTTGAAAATTAATCGAAACAAAAGCACAGTGCTAGAAAAAATGTATGAAAATTAAGGTTACAGGTGAATGTAATCTAGCCGTGATTAGTCTTTCCACCAACGTTATGTGTATTTTAAAAAAAAGACCTGGCCTAATTTAATTTATTTTTGTATCAGTTTGAAAAAAAAAAGGTAAGAACACATTTCTTTTCACCTTTCAACAACTTGGACAAGAAAACTGAGCAATGCCTACTATTATATGTGCTTTATCTCTTTTAACAAATGTCTACTTTAAATGAAACAATCTGTAAATCTTGGTTTCTATCTCATGATGAATATGTGTGACTAAATTTCCCAAATAGCCTGGTGAAGTAATTTTACCTTACTCTAACAACTGGTTGTGTTGTGACATCAATCGAGCCTTTCTGATAATTGATTCTTTTATAATGCTGTCTTATTGTTGAGTCATTACAACCAAGCATTCATGAGCCAAGTTAGCTAATTGTTGGTAATGGCAGTGACTGTAGATGTTATTTTTGCCCTCTTTCCAGATACTGCAAACTGTAGTTCCTGTTCCTTTACCATTTATGGGTTCAACAGTAAGGACACTATAGAAAAAAACAACTGCTCTTTCAAATCCGCCACAGTAGTGTGTAGAACAGTTTTACAGGAGTCCTTATACAGCTGTAACATTAATGGATGATGCTTGTCAAATTGGAACAACAGCTTCCCAAAAAACAGTAAAAAAAAAAGAAAATGCAGTTACAAAAATGTAGGTAATGAGTGGCTGAAGCCCTTCGTTATAGGACCCAAAACATGAATGTGTGCACATTAGCATGTTTTACAAAGAGAACACATGAAGGAATAATGCACATTTGTTAGATTCTGTAAGGATGTCTGTGCCTATGTATCCTGTCCTGCAATGGACTCCGCATAGATCCTTAAAGGGAACTGTGAAAGGAAGCATCCGGCTTCCTTTTCTTACCTCCTTTCTTAGGAAGCATCCTGAATCCTTTTCCTACCTCCTTCCTTAGGAAGAATCCTGCATCCTTTTCCTACCTGTGAGGTAGTTTGGTCGAGGGTCAATAAGGTGAACCAAAAAAAAAACAGCCTTAGCCACCGGTTCCAATTTCTCTGTTGTCTTTTATTCCTTTTCTCTCTGACATAACATTTTTACCTTGAGCATCCAAGAGCTCAGGGCTTATATAATCAAGTGGCAACACACCTGAACTTGAGTGGACCAAGCCTCAATTAAACAGGTAAAAAAAAAAACAAAGTCTAAACAGAGAAACAAGAATAAACTTAATCTAATTTACAAACTCATCTACATAAAGAAAGAGTCTGCAAAATAAACAGTGTGAAACAAGATAACTCAAAAGGTTACTTTAAAGAAAAACAAACAAAGCATAACTCAAAAGGAAAACCTCTAAATGGTAGAACCCAGCAAAGTAATGGATGACATCATTTAGTCAATTTAGTAGGAAATACTTAAACAATGGTGAGTAAAAAGGAAAACAAATGCCATGAATATACTTTGAAACATAATAAACAATTTCATCCAATAATCCTGAAGTAATAGTTTTAACCTAAACATAAGTAGATGGAAACTGCAACATAATGCTAACACAAACAAACCCGGGATAGTAAGTGAAAGTCAAAGTTGCACACTAATGTTTAAATTTAAGCATTACAAAGATTCAGAAGAAAGAATAAGGGACAAGTGGTAAACATAAACTAAACCACTTTGTCACACTACCTTTATCTTTACTGCTGGCACTATTAGGACAGCACCTATCATGATGCCTGCGGATCCACCTTTCTTTGGTACCATTGGGCCTTCCTAGAGTAGCTCCTGATTAGCTCTAAGTGTAATTTTGGTAATCTGGCTACTCTGGGAAAGATCAACTTGTTTCTTTTTTTCTTTATTTGTATAAGGACTCTTGTTTTTAGGGGGTCTTAAAGCTTTAAAATTACTTCTTGGACCAATCCAGATGAATGAAAAGAATCCAATATTCATGACTTTGTTAATATTGGGCCATGCACTGCGCTTTGAGATCTGCATCCCTAATTTGTCTCTCAGGCGTGCTCTATTAATGAACCTTTTTAAAGTCAGGAGTGTAAAATCAGTTTTTAACCTTTTAACTGTACTAAAATATCAAGGGAAACACTTATATTTCAAACTATTTATGGGCTGGGTTTTTAAAATGTTTGTGATAAATGTAATCTACATTATAAAACAGAGTTTTGTGCTCACCTGTTACGTATATCACTGCCTGATTCAAACACTGAAATCACATTTATTTTATGATTCCAAATATTTGTGTGACGAAAAAGAAAAGAATGAAGGAATCTTAAAGAGGCAAATACTTTCTCACAGCATTGTGATTGTGAGGAATTATAGAATAATAAATTCCTAAAGATGTGTTCTCTAGTAATATCTATTTTACAGAATGTTTTCATGTATTAGAAGGGCTACAGTATGCTACGAGCATATTCAATGTGGTTTCCAAATGCGGCTCTGCCAACTTTGATTTGAGTCCTTATTTTGTTACTTTTCCTTAATTTCTTTTCTCCATGTTTTTGTCTCCATCTCTGAGCCTTCCCTCTTCCCTCTAATCTGTTCTGCTCTGCTTCTTCGCAATGCAGCATGTCAAGGAGCCATGGCTGGTTCAGAGCACTCGCAGACCACCGGTAAGTTTCAAACCAAGGCCTAATAAAAAGTGTCCCCTTTAATTTTCTCTGCTGCACTTTGAAGTTCCTCCTTTTCCTCCAGTGAAGGAGGGAGGTCTGGGTGGCTTTGAAGACTGTGGCATGAAACTCTGCAGTATTGTGTATGCAGTACATCCTCAAGGAAGATAACAGGGGATTGAAGGGGAGCAGTGCATCAGTGCTGTTTGTTTATCATGGGATTTATGTTTCTCCGTGGGTGTTTGTGGATGTAAGGGTGTTAATTAGATATGAGTCGGTTGCTGCAGGGATAAAATGACTTGCTCATATCTGAGCAGAAATGACAGTCATGTATATTTCATCTCAGCACCAGCAGGAGATTTATCCCATTTTGCTACAAGCTGTGGTACTCTTTGACCTATATAGCCCTAACCATCTGTGAGGATTAGAAATCATTGGCCAAAATGTGCAGTTCAACCATTCATATTGCTGTATGGGAAATGAATGATTACCAGGTGGCTCAGTTATTTGCAGAAAACATAAACATCAGTTGTTCACATTATTTGTATGACTGATTGTGAATGCATAAATGATAAGAACACAAAAAAAATATATCAGAAAGAAACCCCTCAGGATTTAGGTTGTATTAGTACTTTAGTTTATGACTGTAACACAGAATCTGAAGATTTCTGTGCCCACCAAGAAGAAAATTGGAATAAATAAAAATACATTGTTACTTCCTGAGCTAATTTCAAATTTCAAGGAAGATTTAACCCATTTTTTAGCACCCAACCTAAGTCTCTGCAGTCCATAACTTTTACTTTTACTTTTGATCATTTATGTGATAAACACTGTGATAAAGATTCCCCATTATGTTAAATTATTCAAATTCTACATCCAAAAACGGTTTATATTTGCTGTTGTATCTAAATGTATTTAAAGTCATTATACAGATTGCAGTATACTGGACAAATATAGGATTAAAAGAGAAATGTAACAATGGTCCACAGACGGCACAATCAAGGACTGAGGCCTCTAAACATGGGTCTCCATGTTCATTTTTTCCTGCTTGAAGATAGATCTTTGCCACATCTCAAGTATTTTGTAGATTATAACAAGTTTTCCTTTAGAATTGTCCTATATTTAGCTAAATCAATATTCGCATCAGTTTTGGCCAGCTTCCCTGTCCCTGCTTTAGAGAAGCATCTCCAAAGTATAATGCTGCTGCATCCATAAAACATATGCAGTGACTGTGATCACATGACTACACATAGTCAGTTTTCTGCCATGTATTATTTTGTCTGACCTTTCTTGTATTTTCCTTGGTATTTATGATATTGTTTGTTCGCGATGTTAAACTCTGAGGCTTAATAGAGAAGCGTTTTTATACCGACATTAAATAACATAGTTGTTAAGTAGGACACAAACAGGGTCAATTAATTGCACTAGATAATATTTAGAGGTTGTAAAAGGGGTTACATAATCAAAGGCCTATTTCTTAGGTTTTTGTTTTAAAAAAATGATCCTTCCATTTCCCGGTTAAGTGCTGTTTACTCTTGGCTTATAGCATAAAACTCTTATGTAGCTGAAATTTTACAAATGTGAAAAAGTTCAAGGGAAATAAATACTTTGGCAAAACATATATATGCCTTAGATAGCTCAGTAATATCTCTTGTGCACAGCACACTATTGCTCTAATAATCCTGCCATTTTTTGTGCTGGATTTCCAAGCCTTAAAGTGCCACAATGTAAATGTGTTTATAAAGCATATATGATATTCCAATAAGTATCTAATTTATTCCTTTTTGATAGTGTAATATGGTTGAATTTGGCCTTTAATAGTTTAAAGGCTGTAAGTTAGATTTCCAACATATTTGTGTAAACTTTGTTTTCTGTTTAGATAATCTTGAACAGGAGACATCCCTGAAAACACATAAAAATAAATATGAAGATTATGCAATCTAATGCAGTTTACACCAGTGTGTTCCCAGAAGCACTCTCTACATTCAATTTCACAGAGTCCCAAAAGAAAGAAATTAGATGGCAATCATTTTGAATGAAGTTTTATCAGCTTGTAATAGTGTCTGGAGGAGGCTTGCCATAAAGTGTGCTGTGGAATTGCACACAATCATTTTTATCTAACTGACACTTGATTATCTCACGAGAAGAAGATAATATCTCCAACATAAATCCGTCAATAAACAAAAGCGCAACTGTGGTAAATTTATCTTTGTCTTCCTAGGTTCGAGGGTATGAATGATAAAAAGCAAAGACATAAGCTGTATGTTTTAAAGGTGACTTAGCTTGGACTACTTAGCAGAAGATCAATATAAGAAACATTTTGCTGTTTGTGGCAGATTCTTAAACAGACAACAGGCAACCAGATTTGAAAAGTCTCTTGAAACACATGTTACTCGTGCCCAGATGTATTGAATCTGACATCAACAAAATGACTGAAAGCAGAAAGAAGATGCCTACTTTCAGAAATGTTTCACAGATGCGGCTTCCCTGCTGTTTTGTGTAGTTTTCTCACAGGAATCTTAATGTGAATGTGGTACTTTGTGTTTGTGTTCTATTCTATAAAAAGTTTATTTTTCTGCTACGGTTATTGCTATCCTCTTAAAAGTGGATTTTTTTTTTTTTGGGTCAAAACCCTATTTTTCTTTCTCTCATACCTTTCTACTTATTATGCTGGAGTCACTGAATGTGTTTCCATCAGCCTGCCAACAAAATTAAAAGTAGATGTCATTGCACATACTAGTTCTAGTATAAGATCTCACCGAATGACAGAATGTACCCTCATTTAAAGTGATTCAAATGATTTAAGAACAAGTTTGGAAGAGGCTTTACTGGAAAAAATTTAAATCAAGAAAAGTCATTTTTTCATAGAATAAGTGCATTTGTTCTTGAGTTTAGGAGGTAAGTGATAGTCTTTGCCAATGGAACAAGACAATTTGCATTTAAAATAAGAAAAAAAATACTGCATTGTCCTATTTTAAGTGCATATTATCAAATCATCTTATTTTAAGAGCAAAAATATCAATTCCATTGGCAAATCATTTTATTTACTTAATAAAATTAAGGGTAAATACACTTAATTTAAGAAATGTCAACTTATTTCTTGATCCTTTTTGCAGTGAATTCACCTAATATATTATAATTTTGTTTGCCAGTTATGATTTATTTATTTCTTTGTCCCCATCTCTTTAGTAGTTTCCTTACACTATGCCACTTTACCTTCTCCTTCCTCTTCCTCCTCTAGGCTGGCAGCCGCAAAAAGAAGCCCGCTTTGACATTTCCTTTCCGCCAACCTGGGTGAAAGAGGGCAGCAGCCTCTCCCTGCAGTGTACCTTCACATCAGCTCTGCTACCTTTCCAGCAGGATGTCAGCTGGTTCAGAGATGGTAATTGCAGTCTAATGGGAGCTACTTGTGGCACATTTTTTACAATTAAAAAAAACAAGCTGTAGCCCTGACTCTTAACAATGCTGCCAACCTCCAGGCGTACAGCTGCAGCAATCCAGCAATGTGGACATCAAAACGTTTGATAACAAGGCCATCATCACCCTGACTGCTGCACACAAGGAGAATGAAGGAGTCTATAGCGCCAGACTGAAGACCAGCGATGGATACGAGGAACACGTAGCTTTTGTCTACATTAAAGGTGAACAAAGAATAATTAGGAGGCCATCATAAAATTGTGTTTCCCTTAGTTCTGATTAAAAGAGCATATTTAAAAATTATTCCGATTTTGTTAGACACTTTTGCCCTTTTTGTCACAAAAACCACAAGAACAGACAAAGATGTTTAAGAACTTTGTGTAATAACCACTCTCTTACATTCTTCCCGATTAAGAAAGTAAAACAAAAAGTGAGGCATGCTTTCTAATTTACCTCATTTTACTCTGCGACCCCCAGACAGAACCTGTCACAGGTGCCAAAAAGGTCAATGGAAATTCTGGAGGAAATACAGATGTTTTACAGATCAGGTGGACATGACAACTAATATTTAAGAATTTAATCACAGAAAAGAAAGCCAAGAAGTTGCATCAGCAGTTTGCCACAAAACATTATAAAGAGAGATTCAGCATAAGATAAACCTTAGAATCCGTATCAGAAATATAGAAAAAACATTAGGTTGAGCTTAAAAACGTTTCCACATTAATGTTTGATTTTAAAATTCTAGGTATAAACCATTGGAATAGAGAAAATCTATTAATCCTTATTTGTGATCTGTGTCTGGTATAATCAGTGTACCAGAACAAATAATGGTTGAAATAAATTATCAAAAGCCCCAAATTTAGAGGAAATTCCTCCAAACCAAATAAAGCTTCTGTTTGTGATGGGATCTCATTTTCTGCCCGGTTTGACTCTCAAAGTCACCTAAATCTCTCTGAGATTTCCAGGGATTTCATGGGAACCATCCCTGATGCCTATACCATGAAGCAGGATTACTGGTTTAGTGAGACAACTTCCAGTTTAACCCTGATTTTTTTCAAACCACGAAGCTCAATTCATTATTAACGATGCTAGTCAGCGATGCTAACGTACTCTGGACGGCAAACCTGCTCCAGGGCAGGCTAGCTTTTAGGACTGATCTAAATCCTAGAAAATTCTCCACCCAGCAGCCAATCAGCTGTTCAGGAAAACAATGACACGCCATTACAATGAGGACCTGATTTAATTAAGGGGGAAAATAACAACAAAAACAACATCACAGTAGAAAAACTTGAAAACCAAAAACCAGTTAAACAAAACGTGTTATTGTCAAATTAGACCGTTTTTAATCAATATATTTTTCTTCTTACTCCTTTTTGACATACTAACCTTTTACTATTTTTTATCTGTTTCCTTCTGTATAATTTCCCTATACATCCCTGGCATTTACTTGTTTCTTTATAAACGATATATAAAGATACATTTGTAAAAAAAAAAATTTAAAATTAAAATTACTGCATGGTCAGAAGATCCTTAGGATCATAATAACAATACAAGCATTACAAGTTTTTCTGGCATATATATGCCAGATTTTAGAACTGTGTGTTGGCTGTGCAGCCGTGACTGTATGGCCATGCAGCTTAGGCAACAGACAGCGACAGAGGCTCTGTAAAAATACAGCATGTCTAGCTGTCCATCAAGTGTTCAGTGCCCTGATCCAGTTATGAATGAATTCATCATCTCTCCTGGTCTCTTGCCTGTACAGCATATAAAAGAAGGATTTATGCCATCTCAGGTGAGTCATTACCTGGATTTCTGTGACATGTCATACTCATCGCATTGTGAAATGCTGTTAATATTTTCCTTCTTTGCTGTAATTGTATAAATGAGAAGTGTAGATGTTACGCTGAAACTACGCTGATGGGGGATTAATGGTAAACCGCCAGGTTGAAAAAAAAACAGCAAGAAGAAGTCTGTAATGTTTCTGTGAGATTTAAAATGTATCATTTAGAGCAAAAAGTCTCTATGAGACAAAAAAAGGAATTTTACCAAGGTTCATATAAGTAGACAAGACATTAAGCTTTTTCTGTACATTTATAGCAGTGTTTAGGGGTTTCACTATTTTAAAAGTAGAGCAAATTCTTTTCCATTTCTCCCACTGAGTTCTGACAGCTCAGAAATCAGGATGATTTCGCTCAGATTGATCACTTCTTGTCTTAATAGGATGCAGTCTATATCGGCATCATCTTCCGGCTTTATTTTAGCCCACATTATGAATTAAAAAGTCCAAGATACCCAGATATCTTCTCCCAAGTCATTGTCACTCCTAAGGGGTATTTGAGATTGGGATGCATGGCTATGTTAAATGTCACTGATGTGTATTGCACATTTACTAAGCCAGCAATCCTTTATCCCCCTATTTGGCATCCCTTTCATGCCGCCACAATTTTTAACTTTTCATTGAGACTTTTTTTCCCACTTAGTATTTCTGTAAGATGAGATATTGAGAAGGTGAATAAATCTTCACCTTCTTCTTCCTCTTCACCTTATACACTTCGGACTTCTATTACAACTCTGAGCTTTGTCACATAGAGAAGTATGCAGATGCTCTGTGATTGGCAAGAATCTGGACCTTCTGGGGACCGTGGTAGAGACAAAGACACTTAAGAACCTGCTGGACATTATGAACAACGCAAGCCACCCTCTGCACACTGTCTTCACCACTCAGAGGAGATTGCCCCACCCCAAATGCAGGACCTGAAGACCGCGGAACTCCTTTGTTCCCCAAGCCATCAAGCTGTACTACTCGTCCCTTGGGGGAAGTAGGAGGTGATAGGAAGAGGGACAAGGGTCAGCACCCCCTCTTTGGACATATTACACAAAACATTGCCTATTGTCACTCATGTGCAATATTCTTTTCTCTCACTATGCAATAACACATACCAACTATTGTGTACCCTTTGTTTTACTTATTTATAAGGTCAGCACATATCTGCTGTACAAGTGCAATAATCCAAGTCAACTACTGTGTAGTCTGTTTAATTTTCACTTATTTATATGTATATGGTTAGTACATTTCTACAGTGCAAATGCAACAATTACTGTGCAGATATTTTTATATCTAAGGGAAAGATTTTACAGGACATTACAACTTTTTTCTTTCTTTTATACTTTTTTGGTACTATATACACTCTTTTTATAATGCGCGTCATATTTTTATCTTTGATGGCATTTTACTTATCTCTTTGTATTCTATATACGCTATAGGAACCAGAACTTCCCAAGGAGTAATTCCAAGGGATAAATAAGGTTGAGTCTATGTCTAATAAGTCAAAGTGTATTGTTTCTCACAAGAGAAATACGGTGCTTTCTCTACTACCCTCATGATTGTGATTAGTCTCCTAACTTCAACCCGCCCCTTTATACATGCTTGTTCACAGTTTCATGATCAGTTAAAGCTGGATTGAGTTAGCAAGTTAACAACCAGCTTCGTGGTACTTCTGATCCTGATTGCCGTTGTTATGGGTTGGTTAAACTGGATAAGCTGGAAGTAAAACCTCTAGCTTGCCTTGTGGCATGGGCCTCAGGTCTCTTAACAACTTGCAATCGTGATTTGCTTTCCAATGTCAAACTTGTTATTTTAAATGGATGGGTGCTTTAGAATCACCTTAGAACTTTTAGTGGAGAGTCATCATTTGCTGTCCCATCCTAGATAAATTATGTTTGAGCTAGCTCCCCTCAAATTTTGGTTCTGCTTTCATTTCCTGTCAGCAAACAAAAGTGATTCATGCACTGAAATTGCACCATCAATCAAACTGTTCGACTGCAGAAAGCTTGTTACCTTCATTCTGTGAAGCTATATAGTTTTCATGGACTGCAGTTTTACCTCTGAAACACTATTTTCAGAATGAAAATAAACCACTTGAAAAACGTTCATCTGTGTAAGAATGCTTAGCTTGTGTTGGTATTTCATTGTAATGCAAGTGCTCATGCCACATAAGCAATTTGATAGGCTTTGAAACATTCATCATTCCCTTTTGTATTCGTCTCATTTGTTTACCGTCATTACAGGTTTATAAAGTGTATCATGAATTTTCATTTCTCATTTTCAGCGCGTCCTTTCTGACTCCTTCCTGCTTTCCTTTAGACGGGCCAGCTGCAGTGCTTAGAGGTCCTGCATCTCCTTTGGCGGTGGAGGTATCTGATGTCAACAAGAACTATGTCTTTCTGACCTGGCAGCCCCCCAGCGCTGATGGAGGATCACCTGTGGAGGGTTATTATGTGGAGAGGTGATAATCACTCTGATCTGAACTGTACTTCATATTTGTTCTCTTTAGGTCTCTTTTGAAGAGGTTTTACTTTGCAAAAGAGACCAACCAGAAATTAGATGCTTCACTCCATTTTGTATGTCCAATAAGTTCAGAGAAATAAGTCAAAGTATTTCAATTTATCACTCTTGGCAGTACTAGCAGCCAATGGGAATATGTGCAAGGGTTTCTTTTATTTTTTTCAAAAAAAAAAAAATCTATTTTCTGTTCGGATACATTTACCTACATTGAGAATTGTCAACATATCTACTGGTACTTGTATATTCTGTTCGGGAATGCCTGACCCTCCTTTTGAACATAGAACCAGTTTTTATTTTTTTTATTTTTTCTGTATCAGTAACTTTTCTACATATTTTTCACTTCTCAATTAAAAATTTCTTTATATTACATTCACTGACTTACACAATTACACACATTTATACACTGACAGTTGGAATTCATTCTAGCCACTGCTGCCCTTGGGCAGACTGACAGAAGCAAGGCTGCCATATAATCGGCTCCACTGGGCCCTCTGACTATCAACAACAATAATATCATTAACAATAAATAGTATGATAATAGAATGTGAGAAATGTTTTTTTTTTTTTTTTTTTCAAAATCTAAAATTCAGATGCGGTGCATCTTTGCTCTGAAGCAATACTTTGCAGAAATTATTTTCAATGTAATTACAGCCGAGCTTCTGTTGGCACTTGTGTCTACCAGGTTCACCCATCTAGAAACTGAGCTTTTTGGCTTTGCCTTCTTACTTCTGCATCTGTTTTACCCTCTATTCTAACTGGTCTAACAATACCTGTCGTAGAAAAACATCTTCATAGGGGGTTTCAGATGCAATGGAAAATTTACAGCAGGGTTCTGTCTGTGTGTTTTAGAGATAAGCTACTTTTGTGTGACCAATACATATAAATGCCTATTTGGTGGAAAACTGATGTTTCCTGATCTGTGGAAAAATAATGCCCATCATAATGACTTTTTTTTTCTCAAACACTATTAATGCAATTTTTGTCTGACATAGTATGCTCAATCATCCAAAACTCTTGGCATGTACGAAACACATTTCAAGATTTATTATAGTAAGAAAGATTGGTAGACGAGTGAAAATCAGATGGGGCAGAGCTATTAATGAGGTCTGCAGGTTTAAAACCATGCACTTTTTTTTTTTTTTAGCTTTTGGCTGTTTGTGCTCCGAAAATGTCTAGAACACACATTGCACTGTTCCATAGATTTTCAATTACTGGCTGGTGTTCCTTATTTTCATTCTTACATACACCACCAATTTTAACACCTTATATAAGGAAGTGTATGATCTTCTAATTGGCTCTTTATTAATTCATTAAGTACATGTGGAGTTTCACTGAGTTATTTAATTATCTCAAGTACCTCTGAAAGAAGTGAGATCCAGCAGATTTCTGGTTTGAAATCTGTCTAAAAATAAAAGCTGTTCTGTTGCAGGGACATTTATTCTGGGTAAACAAGCTTCAAAATAAATATATATTTGATTTAGTCACATTTTCTGCTCTACTCTTTGAAGTGTAAAGCATTTAATCTTCATAGATCTGATTATTCCAAGAAGAAGAATAATGCACATCATAACTCTCCAAGCCATTCTTTGTTTAAAAGGTCGAGACAACACAAAGCTGCTTTGCATTTAAACAATGTAGTTAAGTATTTGGAAAATTAAAAGTTTAAAAAAAAAGATAGATATTGAACAAGTATTAAAGCAGCATTTTTGTTTAATTTCCAAGTCTTCCCACAAGCTGCTTTTATTTCCAAATCTCTAGAGTGATTTTGTATAGTTTTACAAAAATAAAGCAACTTTCTGAAGTGTTTTTGCTTCCAGTTGTTGCTGAAGGTCATTATTCTTTGCCAAATTTTCTTCTCCTGATTTAGAACTATTAAAACAATTTAAAAAAATCCACTGGTGTAAATATTTGCAAAATCCACTGACATTGCTATTGTTATTTCTCCACTCTCATCTCTTAATAGTTTTTAAATTGGAAATGTGTCACAACACTGTAAAAACTGGCAGATCTTCCATGTTAATTGGACTTATTTTACTTCTAAATTGTGTTTTTAAACACGTGTTTTTCTTTTACAAATGTTTATGTATTTTCAAATGCATAACTTATAGTTTTAAATTCTCCTGACTGGTGTCAAAGCACATAAATCGGGAAGCTTACTTTACTTGTAGGCCTACTTTTATGGCAGCTTTTGAACTGTCCTTTTTAAATCAACAGTGCTATTCAGTAGCACTCTCCAATGACTATATGATTCTATCACAGGCTTATTTGGAGCTATCTGTCAAACCTAAAAAATGTATCCTCCATTTGAAAGCCCAGTTGTTTATATGCAGTTGAAGACATCGCTTTAGTTATATTTTAAAAGAATCATCTCAACTGATTAAAGCTGCAGACTTGACAGGATGAGTTTGTTTGCTACCATAAGCAAGTAGGGTATATTAATTAAGCAACATAAAGCTAATTGATAATTGTTGATCAGGGGTTCCTAAAGTGGAGGTCAGGACTCCATTTAGGTGAAATTGTTATTTTGGAATGATCGAGATTTGACTTCTCAAGTGAATGGAGGGACCCTGCCATGAAATAACCAAATGTAAATATATAATAGAATATATGAGTACTGTGAGATTAAAACGGCACCATTTAATTTTCCAATAAAATTTTGCTTGCATAACTTATTTATATAATACATTATTGAACAATTAGTTATCAATTAAAACGTAAAATTCCATGTTAAATAATTAATTGTCTCATTAGATGATTAAATATATGAGGAGTATATAATCAGAATAATTTATCATGTTCAGCTGGTCACCAAAACAGGATTCTATCTTATTTCAAAAAAGTGAAGAAAAAAAAAAACATTGGACCTTTTTTTCAGAATTGATAACATTTTGCTTTCCACCTAGAAAGTTTTTTTCAGTTCTAATTGAAAGAAATAACATTGAGTTTTAGGCTTTATAGAGTGGACCAAAAACAAAGCCTTGTTTTAGCTTAGTAAACATGCAAATTGAAGCGGACAAATGGGTACGCCCCTTAGAAATGGGCAGTCGTTTGGGTTCTTTGTTAGGCTGCAATACCCGATACCTCTCTATATCTCTGAAAGGGAGTCGTTAGAGGGAAATGTTGGCCTGGCTGAACAGGCGAGGTGTTTTGTTCCCCTGTATGGGGATGAGGTTGCAGTGATAAGGATGAGGATTCTATGTCACTGTTATTTTGGGGAATCATCCACTGAAAATTACACGAAAATCTGAGATTATAAAGGCTTCAAGTGGTTGTAGTGCACCTCCTATTGTTATAACCTTTCTGTCTGAATCAGAAACATGCTGGTGTTAAGCAGAATACACTTTATGTCCTGACATTGCCAATAGCAGAAGTGACTCTTTGGGCATGTTAATTAGAAGCTCATTAAAAGAGCACACATAAAACAGTCTGAAAGAGATTAAAGGATCAGAGTTCATTCATATCCAGGAGATACAGGTTTTATGCCTTAAGAAGAACGAGTCTGTGTCATGCGTGCATCAGTTTTGGTGTGTCTTCTGCAATATTCTAGCCTTAATTAGAGAAGATAAAATTCACGACTGTTTTAGAGTTTTGTGCGAAGACAGGAAGTAGTGTGAAGCATTCCAGTCCCCAAGGAACCTCTGTTTTACTTTTTTCTGAATTTGTTAAATGAAAGTCATCTTGATTTTTATAAAGTAACTTTTGCACGTTGGAGTTGGAGGCATATAACCCTTCTCAGGCTGAGAAGGGTTATATGCCAAGGTCTACACTTATAGCCAAGGTCTACACTGAGATATCAGTGTAGACCTTGGCAGGGTTTACTGATTTACTTTGTTATTGTATAAATTTATAGTATTTTATAGTTTGCCTTGCTTGAAAATTGTTCACATCAAATGTCTATCTACTTATTTTAAATCTCCAATTCTAATGTAGTTTTCTATTTTTCTGTACTTGTATAAATGTTCCTGCGAGTCTGACAAATCGCTTTCTCCCATTTTTAGATGTGACCTTAGTCAGGGAGAGTGGGTGCGCTGTAATGAGTCCTCACAGAAAATGTGCCACTTTCCCATTTTCGATCTGAAGGAAGGAGCATTTTACCAGTTTAGAGTTTGTGCCGTAAATAAGGCTGGAGCAGGACGTCCCTCCAAAGCCACAGGGCCTGTCCTCATCGCAGACCCCCTTGAACACACCAGGACAATGGGTAACACCTACGAGCTGCTGCACTACATCAGGAATATATGAAATGATGATGTTGGTGATGTTTATATGATGCATTGACTGAACTGAATAAGATTAACCCACATTTCCCTAACTACTCACTTTGCTTATGCTACAATTTCCCCTAAGCTTTCTGATCTAGGTCACATGGATCATTATCTATGTAGCCAAATATAATATTGAAAGACAGAGTTTATTATATGCCATCTGAAAAAAAAATAATGTCCCAGAAATTGCCTTTTTGCAACTTCTGACTGACAATATTGTGCACCTTCATATTTCCATTGGGATTGGATGATACACACCGGTGTGCATTTCCAATTACACCATAAACAAAATCCACATTAAGAAAAAAACGATGAGAGCTATAAAGTTACAGTAGGGAGTCCTGACAAAACTGTGGATTACAGTAGTAGCCGTTCAAAATTTCCCCACTTTCCTTGATGGGTCCTTGGCTGGTCCCCTGCAATTCCTTTTAAACATCAATCTTTGTACTATATTCTTTCTGTCATGATTTGTGGAAACTAAGATCTAAAGAGAAGCGTTATCTCCTGGTCAGACCCTGTAATTTAGTGAAGGAGTAGAGTCAGAGTAAAAAATAAGAATGCCCAGGAGAAGGAGGAATCACTCCAGTTGGTGGAAGTTGGAGGGGATTTTGCTTGGAATTGCAGGGAAGTTGGCTGCCATTCGGCTGCCGTATGACTGGGAAGGGCCAATTTGAATGGCTGCTACTGTATATATGACATGTTTAGTAGGAGGGACAAATATCAACATAATGCTTTAGATTGAGGCACGGCTACAGCACTCCAATAACTTGAACCTGAACAAAGGTACGCAATGTCTACGTAGGCACAATTATCTGCCAAAACTTTATAAGAGATGCTATTTTGCTGCCTTTACTGCTTGCATTTTTTCAGTTTCATTTTTTTGTAGCATATTTCTTCCGGTACAAAATGGAGTCTAACATTTTTTAGCTATTAGGAGTTACTAAGGAGACAAGACTGGATGCTGAAAATTTTAAATGTGACAAAAGGCGATAATTTGGAGTGTCATTCTCTTGGCTGTCAAACCCAAAAGCACCCATTCAATTTCTAAACAGGATATACACGGTATGTACCTTCAGAAAAGAAACACCTGCACAGCTCTGGAGTCCAATATCAGCATGTTTTACAGCACCAAAATCCTTGCTTCTCACTCTGCGATGCTATGCCTGAATACTGCTACTAGGCCATGGAAACCAATTTGATGATGCTTTCAACACAGTAATTGGCAACCTATGACCTCTTACCACTGCACAGCTCAGGACATTTCACAAATAGACCCTCTGGAATACATAGCAACATGTGTAGTAAAGATATGTGAAAGGAAAGAAACTTCTGGAAGATTCTGCTAAAAAAAAAAGATAATGTTTATTTCTAGTTACTGAAGTTATGCATATTAATGGATTATTAGCAATATTTAATAATCAAGTAGAAACCCAATTAAACTTTTCTACCTTAAAGTTTGCCTTTAGACCTATTTTTCTGCATATTCAAAGAAGAAGCTTAATGCCATTTCATGTCTCTACAGCCTTCTAATTGCTTAAAAACCACTATATGTTTGGAGTTGAAAGGAATTCTGCCTGAGGCTGCAATTAACCATAAAACGTCAAACAATGTGGTCCTTTTGCTTTGTGTAGAGGCTTCTGTATGTCATCTTTCTATGCCTATTTGTTTGGGCTTGTGCTTTGTGTCTCTTGACATCTGCAGTGTGCTGCAGCAATCATCAGCAATGCATTCACGACTCCCTCCTGCTGTTTATTCACCTCATCTGCCTCAGTGGCCCTGTTATACCTGCAAAGAAATGATCAGTGCCAGGCAAAACAGATGCAGGCGTGCAGATTTAGATCTCATCTTCGCACAGCCGCAGGATTTTTTTGCAGCAGCATTTTAATGGCATCATTGAGAAGAATTTTGTTTCTTAAAAGATTACATAAATAGCTTTTTTTTTATATTGGATTCAGAGCAGGGGTTGAAAGGATGAATGAGATTTGTGTGTGTAACAACAATGACAAATGGGCTGTGGTCTTAAGGTTTAAGTATTTTCTTTCCTTTTTGTCTTGCTGTCTGATCATCTAACATTTGCATTTTTTTCCCATAACCCCAATATCTCCTTTCATTTACTTTCCTGTCTTCTCCTCTCTCAGTGGTCAAAGTTGATCGAGGAAGAACCATCACCATTACAAAAGATGAACTGGAAGGTGAGAATACTAGGTTCTTGTTTTAGGTATGATTCTGTCTCAATAGGAGCCTTTCTAACCCAGCATTACAGTATGTCTCACTGGAACACGCAGCGCCGCCCCCTTACCTGTAGGTTGCCGCAGGCTCATAGCCTTAAAGCATCTTCATATTATGTTTAAAAATGAGCTTCAGTAATTTTACAGCTGAAGAAATGAGCATTTGCTCCATTTGCAGCTGTGAAAAGAGGAAAAAAGTCCCCAGTGGTCTCCCAGTAAATGACCATAATGGCACAAGGTAGAGTGAATATCTATGAAAGAGGCCAGATAACCTTGACAGTGTACCTCACGTACAGAGATGTGTGAATGGTTAGAAGAAAATCGCGCCACCTGAAAATAACTGTCGCCTAAAGGATGCAATTGTACATTTAGATTCTGCTCTATTATGAAGCCCTAGAGCTGCATGCATTTACCCAGATGGTAAAGCTTTTAATGACATGACATCGGTAGCTAATGCTCAATCAAAATCAGCTTAAATAGCCTTCTCTTTTAGGGTAATTTTAGCATAACTTTTTTGTTTGGCATTTTTCTGTGCATATTTTTGATTTTTAACATGCTGTTTTTCTAAGACTTGACTGCTACTATATAGGATTCTGATTTATCTTTCATAATAAAGAAAATACAGTTGATACATTAATTGATTTATTGAATTAGAAATGTATTTGTTACATATAGTCATTTATCTATTTTGATAGTGTATGTTATTTGCGCAGTTTGTAATTGATATTATTTAACAAATCTGTCTAATGTTGGACTCCATGGAATTAAACGTTAAAAAAATTCTGTAGCATATTTTTATTTTTTGGTTGTCCTCCACTGTAGCAAATGTTCAGTGTTTATAAATGAGCCAAGTTTGGACCTGATTGATCTGCCAGTATCTATATGCATGACCACGGTACCCAGAAAAGAACAGCCTGGGTTATTAAACTAGAGACAAATCCAGAGAAGTAGAGCCTGACTGCAGATTCAGTTTTTAAAAAGCTTCTTTAAGGAACAGAGTTGTCTTTTTTGCTCAAACACAACAACAACCAGAAGCCAGACCTGCTTTTTTCTGTCTTGTGTGTAAAACTTTCTTCAACTCTTTCATTTCACTCTTATTTCTGAATCAAGCCATAACAAAGTGGAGGATTTTACTTTATACCCAATTAATGTTTTCCATAGTTATTAGAATTCGTTTTTATATAACAATATTATCATACATTTTATCATAGATTCTTTGCAGCATTTATGTTTAGAAAGTAAGGCCTCCTGACTTATGCTGATCAGTGAAATGTACGCACACAAACAAAAGATCATGTTATTCTACTAGACCAGGTCTTTTATTCAAATCATTGCTTTCCTTTAGCATTGGAGGGCTCCTCTCATCCAGCATGCAACCCTGCAAATTCTTCAAGTGATACACACAGGAACCTGCAAAGGTGCAAATGGAACAAGAAAAGTGATTTTTTTTTTGCCAAGACTTTCACAGTCCTTTAATGGCTTGCAGAGATCTTCATTCTTTGCTGACTCAACCTCTCCGATGTTATTTGGTACACTTGACATATAAGGAATGGAGGTTAAGCTGTAGCAGAGAGGGTTTGTGAGTGTCTCCCGTTGTGAGTGTCTGTCAGTTCCAGCAGACGCAACTTGAAGACTTTTAACAGGAGGAAAAGCTGTAACTTAGCCAACTCTGTTAATATTGACCTTGTTTTCTCTTGTTTTCATCCTCCTCCTCTGTTTGCTCTGCAGGTCAGGTCAAAGCCCCCTTTCCTCCCACTGACGTCCGCGCCTGCGAGCTGAGCAACACCTACGTGGTGCTGAGCTGGACCGAGCCTGAACCCCGAGGCAGGGAGCCGCTGACCTACTATGTAGAACGGGTCAGTCCGCACACCTACGCACAGAAAAACAAAGATTCATATTCTAACAGCTCTGAAAGCGGATCAGCTGCACTGATCACACCAACAAATATAATATTATAATAAGTGAGCCTTGGCTGCAAATCAAATTAATCAAGTTTCTAACAAACAGAAGCTTCGATTTGAAGAAAATCTGCACATTTTCACTTTCTGATTGCTTTTATTTCTTTTTATTCATGTTATGTTATGACTCAACAAGGGAAGAAGAGAGAAGAGCGTGTCAGACTTAGACCTTGAAAACTGCTTTTGATTTTTGCATGTTTCAGACAGAGGTTCTGCTTCAGTTAACAACGGTAATCAGTTTAAAAAACAGAAGAAAGAAGGAATGATGAGATTTAATATTTGCTATGAGTCACTCTTGTTCTTCATCAGTTCATTCGATCATTTATAAATCTTCAACACCGCCTACATGAAGGTCAGTAAATAACACTGGACATGCCCCCTGGTCCCCAATTTTTGTAGAAAGGCAGGAAAGACTACCATGGCAACACTCACAGTCATAAGTTTCTATTCCAACCTAATTACAAATGTACATCTTCAAGAAACATCTGGGAAACATAAACAGAAAGGCTTGGTTGCTAAAGTGCTGGTAAATATATGATCTTTCTAATTGATTATTGAGGGTAAAAACGATTCCATCCACAACAATATCAACAATATTGTTTAAATAAGAGAGGCAAAATTATTTTATTCCAAATAGATTACATCAAACTGTAAAGAAGATAAACAAATGTCTAGAAATGCATCCCAGGTTATGTTAGACCACTAATTACCTTTGTGTTAATATATAACTGTGCCTCCCCGTGATGAAATTTTGAACATCCAAATGGATGGATGGATCCAACTCCTCCTTTTTTACAATATATGTTTTTCAACTAAAATGTAAGATTTGCCTTGGCAACAGAAACACACAACAGTAGGACTGACCTTTTCTTTGATATAATAAGGAGCCTTGGCTCCTTCACATCTGCTCAGGCACAAAACATCTCCTGACTCCAATAATCAGAAAACTGCCACAGGAAGCAGATTTTTATTGTGGCTTTATAAGTTACTGAGGTAATAAAACTGTCAGATCCTTCAAAGGTACCTGAAATTACTAACGTTGGCAGCCTCAGTTCTGCTTATATAATGAAGGGAACATTCAAATATCCTTTTTGCCCTCAAGAAATCACTTAATAATAACTTCCCTTTTGGCATACCTCCTCTTTTGTTGGTATTTCTACCTTTTAAACAACAACTTAAAGAGGGAAATGTTTTATTCACATAAGAGCAATACGGAAATGCCAAGAGGAATATGAAAATGGAATTGTTTGCTATGGTTTAGGTCTCTTATTATACTTTTTCATTGATAAAAATAAAGAGGTAAAGATAATTATTTATCCACTCATTTACATCCTCTTTTCAATGTGTTTAAAGTGAACAATATTTTGTCTGTATATTATAAAAATATTTAAAGGCATGAATAATTTGAATGTCCTAAAATAGATCTAATATATCCATTGTTTGTTGTTTAATCCTGTTTTTCAATATTTATCTGCTTGGATCAGTCCTTGGCAGGGAAAAACAGCTGGGAACTGGCCAGTCTGGACATGATGGTGAACTCTCCCAGGTTCCCAGTGTTTGATCTGGTTAAAGACAAGCAGTACTGCTTCCGAGTGCGCTCCATCAACAAGTATGGTGTCAGTGACCCCTCCACTCCGAGTACACCTATTTCACTAGGAAAGCCGCAAGGTAGGAGAGAATTAATTGCGTTTTGAGGCTAAATTATTACTTTGTGTGCTTAAAGGTCAGGCACACTGTTAGGAATAAACCCCTAAATTAGCATTTAGTGTAATCTAGTGCTGTGCCTACAATAATCGTAACAAGGTTCCACTGTTTTTATTCTGGAATTAAATAGAAAGTCAGCACTTGTGGACTACTAAAAAATAAAGGAAAATATGTATTTCTGCAACACATGACAAACCATTCTCTGTTTTTGTAAAGCTTTGATCCGTCAAAATTAATTTCAGCCACCTATTATTGCCTGTTTTCTGAATCTGGTTTTTAAATTTCCACATTTACATATATGTCATTAATAAACTAGCCCCCTAAATACGCTAGCCATAGCCCTTCCTATTTGTTTTGTTTTTTGCTATGCCTGATGCATGGAAAACTTATTTAGGGACTCTCAAGCATCTGTGTGTGAAGAGTAACAAATAAGAATATTTTAAATTGGCTCTAGGAAAAATAACTCCTTCCCCAATCTTTGCTCTTTATCATTTGTCCCACTACAGAGTTAGATTTGTGACTCATTAATCAATCTTTATTAACCTTCTGTCAGTGAGCCCCTAATTTATTTATTTATTTATTTATTTATTTATTTATTTATTTGTCCTTTGAGTTAGTGTTAGTGTATATGTTGGTAGTTGTTAGGGTAAGGGTCTGGGTTAGGCCATATAAAATGAATGCAAGTCAATGAAATGTCCCCATATGTCATGAAAACACAGCTGTGTGAGTGTGTGAATCCGTGAATAACTGAATGTAGTGTAAAGTGCTTTGGTCAAGTCCTCTGACTTAAAAAAGCGCTTTACAAGTACAGGTCATTTACCATTTACCATCATGGGTAGATTCCATTGTAGCTGAGATCTTGTATCAGTTCATAAATGACCTCGAATTGTTTTGACTGATTAAACCTCATTTGTTTCCCTTCAGCTGTGCCGCCTCCTCCTCATTCAGCCATGGCCATTAGAGACACGGACACCTCAGTTCTGTTGCAGTGGCAAGAACCCAAAGACAAAGAAAACATCTTGGGATATTATCTGTACTACAGTGAAGCTGGTAAACAGGAGTGGAAAACTGTCAACAACAAACCTGTAACAACAACCAGGTAAAAAAAAAAAAATAGGACAACTTTTTAAAGATCTTAAAAATAAAAAAATCATGGTGATCATATAAAACAAAGAAGATTCCATGGATCATTTCCAGTGTCTAATCCAAACATATTTTGTTCTCAGGTTTACTGTTCATGGCCTAAAAACGCTGAAAGAATATGTGTTTCGGGTGAAATCTGTGAGCCGAGCAGGAAACAGCAGATATTCAGATGAGTCACACCCCATCATCGTCAAAGCAGCCATCAGTAAGTTCAAGGATTTAGTGATGTTGCAACAGTTGCAGGAATGTTAAGAATATGTTTTAATATTTCATTTTAAACTGTAACTTTGAATACTTGTTTTGGTTAAAAATATTGGTACTGAAATTATATTGCAATGTATTTATTTAACTTAAAATCTAGTAAAGCTCTTCCTTCAGGAAAATGTATTTTCATCAAAGAGAGAACAGGCTGGAAAATTCTTTTAACATTGGTACAGATTCAAGACTTTGTAGCTTTAGACAGAATAAAGACTTCTTGCTTCTTGGTATTCGTCCGGCAGTCAACCTGCTTGCTGTGATACTCTAATAAATTTCATCTCTAGTTATTATACTTTTGCTCTGTGTTTCTTCAGAGGTTCCCTCCTCTCCCTCTGCTATCACCCTACTGCTGTGCACAGGATCAGAGATGGTCCTCTCCTGGAGGGCTCCTTCCTATAATGGGGGAAACCATGTCCATGGCTACTACCTGGACCAGAAGGAGAAGGGCACCGAGACCTGGAGAGAGGTCAACACAAAACCTGCCAAAGAAAGGACGCTCAAGGTTGGTAATACAGTAGTTCTACTCAGAATTATTTCCTCTTTAAGAACCCTTGCAAAAGCTATTAGTGTAAATACATCTTTATGAGATTTGGTAGTTAATCTCTTAGTAAAGATTTTCTGAAGCTATGATTTTATATATATATATATATACAGTATATATATATATATATATATATATATATATATATATATATATATATATATATATATATATATATATATATATATATATATATATATATATATATATATATATATATACATTCACGCATCATTTTCTACTTATCCAATGCCGGGGGGCAGCAGTCTTAGCAGAGAATCCCAGACTTCCCTCTCCCCAGACACTTTCTCCCACTTCTCTGGGGGAGCCCAAGAGTGCAGGCATTGACTGTCAGCATTCCCAGGCCAGGCCCCCGGCCCTTCCCATCTGTTGATCCCCCTGCTTGTTTCTCCCAATACTCATGAACAAGACCTGAACATAAATTAACTTCTCCATGTGAGGCAGGAGCTATCTTCCAAACTGGAGGGGACAAGCCACCTTTTTTGTGGTCGAGAACCATCACCTCCGGTTTGAATACCTGCTTCATATTTAGCTATGAAACATACCAGGGAATGCCGTTGGTCTTGGGGGGGGGGGGGGGGGGGGGGGAACTCAGTGACTTCAGCCTTGGTCCTGCCTGGAGCATCAGCCATGTTAAGGGGATCCAAAAAATATTCCTTCTACCTTCCCAGAATGTCACAAACATGTGCCACAATTTTTCAATCCAGCACATTCTGTGACAAAACTTAGCTACTTTACTCAATAACCAATCAATTCAAAAGCCCTACCCTGAATGAACGGGTGATATAATCCCATAAAAATAATTTTGACAAGATTTAAAGTTGCTTCAAACCACCCCAGAGCCAAGATGCTGTATGTTAGCATATTCCCCACATACCAAGGGTAATTTTAAAAACACTTATTAACACTTATTATCTACCCATTATGCCAAATGTTGTTCAATTGCATTCTAAATAACAAAGTCTAAAGTATACACTATTTGCACATTCACAATCTGACAGCATAATTGGAAATTTCCACCAAGGAGATGATAGCTGACCTATGACAAAGACAAGTGCCTCTCTGCCGTTTCCATTGAGTCCACATCCAGGGGCCGATAGTAAACACCTCTGACCTGCTTCAGAAGGCCCAGTGAACTCTGCATTTCCTGAGATTGCTTATAAAAACTAACATTACATGTAGACTGCTGGCGCCCTTTTATTGGTTCTCTACTGAGAGCATATTGACCTACTCCATCTGTGTTTGCAACACCAGCTTTACAACTGCTCAGAGGGAAACACTCCTGTTCATTACTGTGGCCTGAAAGATTGATACCTGGACTCCCCCTATTCTTGAAAACCTTCACAGCTCCAACTGTTTCCAAAACGCCCATAACATCACAAAGGACACATTCGCCCCCCTCACCATGTTATCGTCGTGCAGATTTGATAGATTATTTGAAATAGCAACAAGCAGCAACAACGACAGTTTGTAACTGATTAGTTACCAGAGGGAGATGCAAAAGCAGAAACAACCATCTCATTATTTTGCATATCATATAAGTTATCTTAGCGCAGAATAACTTTTTCAATTTTGTTTTTCTCATGGCAATGCCAGTATAATATATTCTATTTTAATGTGTTCTGTTTTATTCTCTCAGTATATCTGGTCAAGAATAGCGAGATCCTCTCTGTGGAGCTACGCTTAATACATTGGTTACTTCTGATGTACAATCCGTAAATTTGTATATACATGTTTCATCAGGTTTGATGGTGAAGATTTTTATATTATCTCATATCAATGTGTAATTCTCTCAGTATACTCATACTCTCTTACCCTACTCTTACCCTAATTGAGGCTAAAATAAAAATTTTAGCTGAACCTGGGGCCTTAAGAATACATATAGAGAGCAGATTAAAATAATTATTAGAAATGGGTTTTAGAGGAACTTAGTAAACAAGCAGAATTAGGAAGGCCGGAATAAAGCCATGGAGGATGAAATCAGATTTAGAGTAAAAAACTATATTCTAGGTACTGTTCAATCTGTCACCTTAAAGTAAACAGTATGACATCTTTAAACCTCCCAACACATGGTTGTATGCCCAAACTGACAGACAAAACAATGAGAGCTTAAATCAAACATGTAGAAGAAAGCCCAGTTCTTAAATGAAAAATGGAAAAATGACAGAAAACTAACACCAGTCCCCACTGTGAAACAGTATAGAGTAAAATTATAGGCTTTGAGGTCAAAATACATGTCAGTCAATACATGAGTTAAAACACTAAATTTATTAATAATAATTCTTTTAAGTGAATCATAAAGTTTTATTTCCACTTTTAGATTTCTTGCAAATACCTGACAGTGAAAGTAAACTGTTGTTCATTAAATCCGCCTGTGTCACTAGGCAACCAGGCAGTGTCCATGGAGACTTAGAGGAGTAAAATCTGAATAGTGCTTCACTAAGAATACAAGAGCTCCATAATTAGATATTTCATAAACCTATGAGAGGTTGTTTTTATCTCCTGAAGAGAAAAGCAAGGACAAACCCAAATAAAATAAAAACTTCTGAGCACAACAACTGACCCCTGTTGTTCTGGACTGCAGTTCTCAGGACTGGAGATGTTTTTGTTATTCCAAAGTCTCTAATGAGAAAAAAAATGTTTCCCCTTTGGAATAAAATGAGACATTTTAGCAACATATTAAGGAGACGGAAAACTCAATCTGTTTCCAGGATGAGGTGCAGCCTTGCTTTGGATTGGAGATAAGCTCCTGATTGAGGCTTTTTATTGTGTACAGTAAGTCATATAAGGAAGCTAAAGTCATGGTTATAAAAAAAAAAGCTCATCCTCTGTCAAATGTAAAGTTTAAATGTAAACAGTGAAAACAAATAAGATAAAATATGATAAGATATGACTTTATTAATCTCACAAATTAACTATATTCTCTATTTTAAAGCAAGGCTCAGTTAGAAACAACTGCCCAAAGCGTGGATAATCTGGGAGAGAGTACTGCTGAATTAAGGAAGCTCATTACTTACCTGAGCATTTACACAATAATGGGTTTGATCAGCTGCTGCTTTTAGGACTCGTCTTGAGAGCCAAGGAGACAGAAATATCTCTTTGTTGTTCCCATACAGTTGAACGATCTTCCACCCAGAATTAGGATTGTCAATAACGTAATGATTTTGAATGACTTTAAAAGAATAATTTTTCAATTTGGCTTTTAATTCCATGATTATTTCTGATGTTTCATGAGTAGGAACGTCAGGTTTTTGTTGCTTGTTTTTGTTGATTTCATTGCTTTAATAGCTCCTATTCTGTTAGTTTTATTGCATATGGATGGATGGATGGATGGATGGATGGATGGATGGATGGATGGATGGATGGATGGATGGATGGATGGATGGATGGATGGATGGATGGATGGATGGATGGATGGATGGATGGATGGATGGATGGATGGATGAGATTTCTGTTTCTGTCTTTTTTAGATGTGTCTTTAGTTCGGCACATCCAACCTTGTCTGTATGCCAAGAAAGCAATTAAGACATTTGATTCAGGTGTGAAATGTTCTGGATCTTTCTTAAAGTTACAGGATGCAGGATTTTCCGTGATAAACTGTGGAACCATTGCTTTGGTGCAAAGTCTATTCATGTTTTAGAATAGTATATTAATGTCAATGCTTAAATCTAGACAAGGATTTGGCTGGGTGTGAAAATGTATGAACTCACTGTCACATCTGAGAGCTTGAGCTATTTTAAGAAGAAAGTATAGCTGTATCATTTTTCTTTTGCTCCTTATAACTATAAAATGCACTGGGAAGATCTATCAAAAAAGCAGCAAACAAAATACATCTAAAGGGATTGTTGCTGTTGTGTGAAAACTTCAAAGGATATGAGAACTATATAGATTCAGTGCATTGCTCTCTAGTAGGCTATAAAATGTGATTAATGATGAATCCAAAATGGGAAAAACAGGTTAGAAAAAGTACATGGTCAAGATCCGTGGATATGACTTAGACTGACTTAGACTTACACAACTTTTATTGTCTTTTTGTATACATAGTAAAATTTCTTTTTGTACAGCTTTCATGACATTTCTGTTTCCTAAAGGGCAGCAGGGATCAGATGTAAACATTGTGGGAGAAAAAAAACATGGTGCAAAAAAAGAAAAGTTTTTTTATGGAGGGAAGAGGAGCCCCAAAGATCTACTCTGTAGATTTCACTCATATCTGCATCTCACTCATATGTAGCTTATTACCGTAGGACTCCAAATGTAATCACCTCCCAGAAAACAACCAAGCAAAGGGTGTTTTACAAAAGGGACAGCTGAATGGAGCAGGTCAGTTCATGCATCAATCCATCAGATGGTCCCAGGGCAGAGTGGATATATAGTCCCTCCGGCAGGTTCTGGGTCTTCCCTGGGATTTCCTCCAATTGGGACATATCTGGGAAAACCAGGAGGGATCCAGACGAGGTGCAAATAAACGTCGACTTTTAAGGCAGAGAGTCAGATGCTCTACTTTAAGATCCTTAAAGTAGAAATTCTGAGCTCCTCTGCCATCTGTAAACCTGATCTGTGTGTAGGAATATATTGTATACAAATGAATACTAATCCAAAAGTAAGTACTTACTTTTTATGTAAAGCTGCTGAGATCATACTTTTATTTATAGTTTGATCTCATAGTTCAACTTTAATAACTTGCAATTAATTATTTTTTATAGCCTATAAGGTCAAAAATTTAACAACCCACTAATTTTAGAGAAAAGGGGTACCATACAGGCCTCCCCCATAGGATTGTCTACATTAGTGTTGTAGGAAAAGTAGTATAAGTTTAACAGCCCAATTTATGTAGTGGCAAAGCCTTTTTTTTTTTTTTTTTTTTTTTTTGAACTTTTTATTTTCAATAACAATTTTTATATCAACACATACATATGTCCTTCCATGTCACATCTCACAATTCACATCTTAATATCTTCTTAGATCATTTTAGACCTTTCATTTACATCAGACATATAGGCTGTCTATTCCAGCTCCGTTAACAGTTATCCAGGTGCTATTGAAGGAGAAAATAACAAAAAGAACCTCCAAGAATGACAAATAGAGGTGCATTTCCTTCAAATAAACACTAGCCCAATTAAGAGAAACCCATATTCATTAATAACATTCATGGATGTATAAGTCACTATGATTAAGGTGAAATGTACAACAGTAGGCACATTGGGAAAACAAATTAAAGTAATAAAAGCACACAATACAAGATAAAGTCAAGACACAATCACAAAAAAAAAAAAAAAAAAAAAAAAAAACAAAGAGGTGTCAAGGTCCCAATATGAATTTAGCTATAGGTTTCCACTTAGTTTCAAAGGTCTCCAGCTTAAATTGTAGTCTTGATGTTGTTTTTTCCATGATGTAGACTTTTCTGATTCTATCTCTCCACTCTGTGATACTCGGAGGTTGTGGCCTTAACCATGCAGATGTTATACACTTCTTCGCAATCAGGAGCATGACCCCGATCAAGTATTTATTGTCTTTATTGGTCAAGTCCATGGGAATTATTCCTAAAATATATACAGATATATCCAGATCTAAATAAATGTCTAAAATATTTTTTATATCTGTTTGCACATTTTTCCAAAACTTTACCACCTTTGGACAATCCCAAAATATATGAGTAAAATCCCCCACCTTTCCACAGTTTCTCCAGCATAGCCAAGATGTCCCCCCATATTTAGATGTAATAATTGGAGACCTAAAGTAACGCATCTTGACTTTCCAGTCAAATTCCCTCCATGTTGGGCTGTTGGTTAATTTGTGTCCAAAGCTGAATGTTTCTTCCCAGTCTTCATCTGCTATTATTATATTAGCCTCTAATTCCCATTTCTCCTTAATCCCCTTGTTATTGATATTGGATTCATATTGTAGGCTTTTGTATAGTTTTGAGATCATGGCTTTTTTTGATTCACCTTTTGCTATTGATAATAGAATTTCTTCCGTCTTGGTCATGTCTGTTGAAATTTTCTGCCATTCACTATGATTCTGAAGGTAATGTCTGAGCTGCAGATATCTGTAAAAATCATTTTTTTGTAAGTTAAATTCCCGTTGAATTTGTTCAAAAGATTTCATTGTTGACCCTTTAAAAAGCTGTTCTATAAATACCAGTCCCCCTTTCGTCCATTTCTCAAACCCTGTGTCCATAGTAGCAGGGATAAAGTCTGGAATCTTGGTGATTTTTACTATTCTTGATATAGAGTCCGGAAAGTTAAATTTTTTCTTTATTCTTGACCAAATATTAATTGTTTCCTTAATCCAGTAATTTTGAATCTTGAGATTCTTTTGAACCCGCTTTGTTGTGAAGGGCAGTGTATCTAGGGACAGATTTGGGCAGGCCCTTTGCTCCATATTTACCCATATTGTCTCTTGATTCTTTGCTAACCACAGGGCTATGGCTCTCAATTGAGCAGCCCAATAATAGTTCTTTAGTTCAGGTAAACCTAGCCCTCCATTACTCTTTGGGGACTGGAGTATTTTAAGTTTAATTCTTGCTTTTTTATTTTGCCATACAAACTTTGATATTCTTTTATCCATTTCTTTAAAGAACGAGTTGGAAGAACAGCAGGTCATGTATTCAGTGTTAAAAAAAGAAAAGCAATCCCCTGGATAAGACAAAGGTCTTTCATTCAATCAAGTGTAGCCTGATTGCCCCCTGGTGGCAGAGGTTTTATTGAAGCACACTGTGTCTTGCTTCTTCATCCTCGACTGTACATCATTCTGACTGATTGTTGTTCAGTTAAAATGTATCATCAGGAAAAGATTTGTGCCAAATGAAGAAGGGTGCAGGTGTGATGTGGCAGCTTTCAGATAGCGGCTGCTGCTGTTATGAAAAAGCTCACCTCTGCTTTGGTCATTTAGTTGCCTGGAGATAGGCAGAGGCAGCAGAGGTTCACAGCTGTTCACAGAGGCGATAAGGCCCTTAGAGTCTAAGTGGCTGTGAATAGTAGGATCAATGAGCTGATCAATAGGTCTGGATCCTCTCTCCATTCAGAGGGTGTAACGTCTCAGGAGCTCAGAAACATGTTGCAGATCCATCAGAGCTTAAAACTTGAAAACGGTATTTTAAAATCAGACAAAATGAAGGTTTGTAGGTGGAGAATTTTTTTTTTCCTGATTGGACTTTTGCATTTCAGTTGAACACATTTTGATCAAGATCAGTCAAATAAAAAGCTTTTTTAGGGCTATTAAAATCAGTTTTCAAAATTGACTTTGACACACTGATTTGTAAAAGAGTTAAAGATTAAAAAAACTATCTTATGGTTATTTGTGATTAAAATTCTTACAAATTCAGAAACTAGGCAAAAATTCTATGCTTTTTCTTGGTTCCATTTTAAAATATTAAGATAAATAAACCCAGCTTGAGTTTATTTACAGTTTTAAAACAGGAATATAACTCATCAATCGGATCAAAACAAAGTAAATTAATATGCTTAAAGATTGAAAAGAAAAGAAAACATTTGGAAACTAAAATGTGTAATGATTGTTATAAAGGCAACAGAGAGAATAAAAAACAACCAAAGTCAGATTCAAAGCAAACTAAACAAATTGTGCTAAACACATTTTTTTTCCACAGAGATCATTTGTGTACCTGCTGTCTGGGAGCAGTGAGATCTGGTGGGATAATGGGGAACATTTTGTTCTTTGAATGAAGACGAGTCGAGGCCATTCAGGCTTTTAAATGTGATGAAGATTTTAAAACCTATTCTAAACCACAGAGAGCCCAGGTGAAGAGGCTATAGTGGGGGAAATGTGATTTTTCATGGCAATACAAGTCATCACTCTGCCTGCAGCATTTAAGATTAACTGGAATAAATAGGAGGACTTAATTCGACTCCAAAATAAATAATTGATACAGTAGTGCAGTTAAATACGAGGAATGCATGGAGTTGCATTGCACTGAGACAGGCTAGTTTTATACAGATAAGTGTATATCACTGATGGCAAATATTTTACATACTGTGAACATTTTTCTCACTCCTCTAAAAATATTTACATCCAATGAAATTCATCGGCATCTTTTAACAGCTTATCTGCTTTGTCCACAGGTTTCTGGCTTGAAAGCTGGACATTCATACCAGTTCCGAGTCTTTGCTGCTAATGCAGCCGGCATTGGGAAGCCGTCTGACGCCAGTGAAGCATTCCTGTGTGAAAAGTGGACAATGCCAGAACCAGGTGGAGGTCAAAGCTTCATAAAATCCAGAAAAGAAATGCTACTAACTAAATATCTCCTCACCTGAAAGTTCAACAGTTGCATTTGGCAAATAGAAAACTATACGTTGAAAATTATTTTAAAAAAACATGTCTTCCAAACAGAAGTTTTTGAAAAATCCTCAATTTAAAAGAATAAATTGACCTGCAGTTAGAATGTGCTGTTGTAAAGAAGGATGAGTCCCTTTAATCTAGAAGTAGTCAGCCTTCTTAGCTAGTGAGTTCTGCTTTAAAATTGAATCCTGCAACTACATAGAGCTAAAGTCTTTCCTCTTAAGGACACAAACTTTGCAGCAGTTGGGGCCATAATGAGGTACGTTTTGAACATCTGTACAAAAGATTGTCCTGAAAGCCAAAGCTGAAATCCACCACCAGCCTGCTTATATTTATTGTTCTTAACAATAAATACATGAAATCAGCCAAAATGTGATCAGAGAGACTAATGCTGGTTACAATTTGTTTTTGCTTTTTCAATGCTTTTGGGAAATGAATGAAAAGTGCTGCACAATGGTGCTTATAATGTCATTATCTTCCAGGCTGCTGTTGTTGTTCAGATGCATTTTGTCCTCTTTGGGAACTGGATTTGATCATTCCTGAGTGAAACCTTCCCCAACAACCCAGAAGTGATTTACTGATATGCAATCTTTATCTCCAAAATGAAACACCACATTTTCACAAGGCAAAAAGCATTAGTTGCTTAGGATCAAACATTGTGAACAATGGGTCTAAACCCATTAAAAACCTCAAGATATGATTGGGGGGAAAAAATCACAAATTTTGACAACATTTATGTTATGATAAAAGAGGGTTGCTATGAGTTATGCATATTACGGCCCAAAAACTCCCTTAAAGTATGGTATATTGTAAATATTGTTGCTTTGCATTAAACTAGACAACTCATCTTGAATTATTTTAAAAGTTTTTTACCAAAACATCAATTATCTAAAACTAAGAGCATATTTCCTTTAACTGAACCTGTGAAAGTTGCATAACATCTGCTTCTTAAACTAGTTTTGGACTTTAAACTTGCACTAGCAAAAGTGATAACAACAACCACAAAATGTTGTTAGATTAAAGAGGAATTCCACAGTTAAAATCAGCCATTCCAAAGTGTTTAATTTACCTAAGAGCTTTGGGAATTTGAGCATCCGTCAATATTCTGCTACCCTGCAGTTTCTACAATCTGTTTATCGACCCCAGCTGCGTAGAGAGGGGAGATAGAAATAAACACCATCCATCACCTGCAGAACCCATTTCCACTTGCTGCCATTTTTACTTTAATTTAAACTGCACCTCTAATAGTGTATGTAGTTTCCTCACAGCAAAATAAACAGGTCAGTATGAAATACCAGGATAATAATATGCTGTTTACTTATTGCACCATTAATGCACACAGTAATAGTGGAGGTTAGAGGTTAAGTGACTAGTAAATTTGTTAAAATAACAGCCTTGAGTTAGAATTAGCTGTGGCTATTTATCACGCTTTGCTCATGTGTGATTTGTTATTGAATATCATGCTAGTAGGCGATTTATAATGAGAGACAACCATTTAACACTAACAGCACATTATTAAATAAAAGGGTATAGGCTTTATATTTGTAAACATAAACTATGATTTCAAAATAATGTATAATTATTTAAGCCACTCTTGACATAAGCATGGGAAATTATTATGATTTATCTAGTGGGTCTGTTAATATTCTAATTAAAACAATTTTAGGATATTACAACTTGTACATAGAGCGTATGGAACTGACATCAGGATGTGTACCTGTGTGTAGCAGTTTTAACCAATGTCTTTGATTGTTGGAGTGAATCATGCAACTACATAGAGCTAAAGTTTATATGGTGGATTTTTAAGTAGTTTAAGTTTACCTGAACTAAAAACTTTACAATACTGATGGATTTTAAAGCAGAACCCACTAGCTAAGAAGGCTGACTACTTCTACATTACAAGGGACTCTGTGGTGACTTCAGCAATCTCCTATGGCGCTGTTTTTTTGGTTTTTAGAATAGAATAGAACAGAATAGAGGCGTGCAGGTGGCGCAGTAGTTAGCGCACAGGACACATGCACAGAGGCCTCAGTCCTCGATGCAGCCGACCAGGGTTAGAATCCGACCTGAGGTCCTTTGCTGCGTGTCTCTCCCACCCTCTCATATCCTGTTTCCTGTCAGCCTCCTGTAAAAAAAAAAAAAAAAAAAAAAAAAAAAAAAAAAAAAAAAAAAAAAAAAAAAACACGAGCCACAAGTGCTGCAAAAATTTTACAAAAAAAGAGAATAGAAAAGAAAATACCTTTATTGTCCCAAAATGGGGAAATTGTGGTGTTACAGCAGAAAATGGTTATAGCAGGAGTGGACACACAATGTGCACCTTAGAGAAAGTGTATAAGAATAATTTTTTTGAGCAGAATCTACAAATGAGAGGAAGCAGTTAATGTCCAAGCTCAACAGAAAAGACATCTCTGTATCAGAATGGCCTCTTCATCCATTGCAGAAGATAGAAGACAGAAGAACTCTAGAAAAATGTACATTTTAGAACAATGCCTCCGAATCCATACATTACTGTTACAGAACCAGATAGCTCCATCAGTGGCATCCTAGTTACTCAAACAGGCACTACTGCAGATTCTTTCTCCAAACATTTCTTAGCCTTTACAAGGGCCATTGCTCCAAGCTTAATAAGTGTTTACATCCCAACTAATTTGTCTTACTGATAGTCTGTTGGCTAGTTTTAAAATATATGTGGGCACCTTGTAAATTTTTTTCAAATGATCCTACTCTTTTGCACTTTTTTGTATCTGTTATATAGTATTTCATTTATGTCATAAATGTTCTCTTACTGTTTTCTTTTACAGTCTTATTCAGGTGCTATTGTTTACCTTTGTAAGAATCTAGATATTCCTATTTAATTTAATTTTACTGCTGTTACATCTGAATTTTCCTTCTGAGCAACAGCAAAAATATTTTTCTTTTACCATTCTATTCTGTATCTACTGTATTTTGCGAAGACTGTATTCATTCCATTATTGATTCTGAATTTAAGCAATTTTAACATCAAACGAGCCAAATGTTAACGTTGAGCTACAGTTCTTTCAGATTTCTCTGCAAGTTGTGTTCTTTGTACTTGCTGCTTCTCATCCATTTAGAGTTAAATGGACTCCAGGTTTAGGCTTCATAACACATATTTTGCAGATAAAATAGATAGTAGCATATTAGTACAAAACAGCTGGACTGTGTTTACTGGAAAAACAGATAATACGTCAAGCTGTTGCAGTCAGAGCAATTTAGAATATTTTAAAGGATTAATCTTTACAACAAAAGGCAGAGCACTTGCTTATCCACACTGGGCTTTTACCATAAAATAAAAATACCTGCTTCTTTCCTGCAGAAATTAAATATTTGTGAATTTGAAGGCCATGCTATACCTATATCTAAAATGACACATTTCTTTTGTTGGTATTATTAACATGACCCACAACAACATACTGATTCACCCTGCCAAACTCAGTGAGAAATCCATTTCTTTCCTTGCACAGATCGGCATTTTGCCATTAATACAGAAATTGGAAACAGTCTGACTGAAATGAGCCCCTCTTTAATCATGGCAAATATTCCTTCCTCAATACATCAATAATTTAAACGTGACTAAAAATCATTCTGTAAATTGACTTCTATGTGCAGCACTGAAGTCAATCTGAGTAAATTCAGAATCTATGGTTTTATTTTCAACCTAATATTTCTGATTTATTTCTGGTTTGAAACTGCTTATTTATCCAGCTGTCTGGTCCTCAGGTTGTCCGTATGACCTGGAGTTCAGGGAGGTGAGAGACGGTTCGCTGGTGCTGTTATGGGCGACTCCGCTCTATGAGGGTGAAAGCCCTGTCACTGGCTACATGCTGGAAACCAGCCAGGGTAACCAGTCTGACAACTGGACCATTCTGACTCTAAAACCAATTTCTGAAACGCGTTACAAGGTGAGAGTTGCACCAAGCTAATTCTGATTTGACGCCTGGGCCTAATTTAACTTCAAAGCATATAAAGCAGAAGTTTGTATCATTAATGTTTGACCCCACTCATTAGAAAATGTTCACATATAAATCTACAGCTTCTAAGATTTAGATCATAAATTTGATTATTTCTGTGTGTGTGCGTCCTCTGGCATCTAGGTGACTGGTCTGCAGACGGGTCAAACCTACCGCTTCCGTGTGTCTGCTGTTAATAAGGCAGGTGTTGGTCGTGCTTCCTTGCCCTCTGAGCCGGTCACAGTTCAGACCCAACCAGGTCAGAATAAAACACAGCTGTTCTCTCATTGCTTTATTTGTCAAGTGAGGGCCAGCTTAAATTCTTAAAACATTACAAAAGATAATCTAAGATATATTCTTTGCCTGGTAAATACTGTAAACAAATAGTCTATTAGAGTAAGTAAACACTGAAACAAAACAAAATTAAAGCAAAGCAAAGTGCTTTTATATGTGCACATGCTTAAAAAACCCACACCTTGTTTATCTTGGGTTTACTTTTGAAAAGGGGCCTATAAACTTTCCCACTTGTTTTTACAACAAGATTTTCCAAATCTGTCAGATTTTAAAATCTATCTTCCATCCACAGCTCTCTTTTTTTGTATATTTGTTTTTTGTTTTTTAGACTAACCTTCATATTTTCTGTAAGATTTAGGTTTAAAGTCTGACTAGGCCACTGAAAGGCACAAACAACCTGCTAGTGAAATGATCCATACATTATGTATGCTTTATTTCAAGTTGCTGTTTTGCTGAAAGAAAAAAAATAAGAAGAAAATATGAAATTTGATTTCATCCATGGCTTTCTGTTTAAAGCCTAATGTTTTTTCTTCTTACATTATCTGACATTTGGATTATTAATATCCTTTCTTAATTTCTTAACAGATTTTCCTCCAGTTCAATCAAGACCCCAGAAAAAAGCATAATGCTTCCACTACCATGCTTCATAGTGTTTAGTATCTTCCGTTGATTATCTGCAAGTGTACATTACTTTTGAAATAAGGACCAAACATTTAAAATCTTGGTTCAACTCTGCCTTTCTGCTTCGAGATATGAATAAGAAAATCAGCAGTACCTGAAAGTTGAACATGAGTGTGCTATGTATTACAACTTCCTCCCACGATCCAATTATACACACTATGCATGCTAGGTTAATAGGTCACACTAATTTCCCCTAAGGAGTCAGTAAGGATGTACATTCATTAATGTTTGTCCTGTTCTCCCCTGTGCTGCACTGTGATTGGCTGAGCACCTGTCAAGGGTGAGCTCTGTCTTCTGCATATTAACTCTGAAAATAGGGTTGGAACCCCATAACTCTGCATGGATAGCTGGGTATAGAAAGTGAATGGATGGTATGAATAAAAGCCCCACATTCTCTGTGTATTTACACATTGTATTCCCTGTTTTTTTGCCTGAACTTGCTTTTTTTTAACTTATCACACAACAATTATTTCAACCACAATTTTTTATTTATTACAGCTATAATAATGTTCTAGTTTGTTTTATTCATTTATCTTTTGTTTAATAAAGATAATACTGGAATTGTTTTAATATTTCTAAGTTCCTATTAAAAACATTAAAAACTTTCATGCTCCTTATTATTGAGAAATAAATAAACAAAAAGCTGATATAAACTGGTTAATTAGTAAAGCAATCTGCAACTACTACTATTTCCTAGTAAGACCAGCTGTACTTATTGGTGACTTCCTTTAGTTTTCACACCAATTTTTTTTTGCAACTAGAAGGGAAGACAAAGTGTAGTTGCCCTCTTGTAACCACCTCACCTGCAATGAAACGCAGCGAGTAGTTTAGCAGCAGCATAAAAGATGAGCATCTTATTACAAGGGTATAAGATGTGGCAGTTTTATGGCACAAAATTAAAGTGGAAAACATTAGATGGTGATTCCTTAACTGGCCCATGCTTTGCTGTGACAGCTGCTTTGCTTCTTTTTTTTTTTTCAGGTACCAAAGAGATTAAGATCGGTGTTGATGATGAAGGGTTTATATTTCTGGGATACGAGGCTGTTAAGATGAGTGACGACAGTGAGTTCCTCTGGAGGAAAGATTTCACAAAACCGATCGATTCCCAAAAAGCGAAAGCAGAAACAGCTAAGAACAGGTAAAGAGTTTATAAGTGATACTGACATTAAAGGCCACTTATTAGGTTCCTATCAGGTTCCACTTTTTGTTTGTCCATGAAAAAAGAAAAAAAAAAGATGTGGAGGATTCAAATTAGCCTGTAATGTTTTAAGTCAGGTGGTTGAAAGCATTTCCTGCAGATTTTGTTGCTGATATAAGATTAAGTTAAGCTAAGTCGACTATTTGTCTACCAGGTCAGCTCTCACCTTCACAGATCCATCTGAAGAGGATCTTGGTCTGTACACTGTGGAAATGAGCGACTGTCCTCATCTGTCATCCAGCTATGATTTTACAGCTGAAGGTACTCCAATAAATATCAACAAGCGGAATCTCTGGTCTTAGGATTTATAATCACTTCCTACTGCTACAGTAACTTCTGCAATGTCACCTTATTCACACACTTTTCTGTTAAAAAATTATTTAATCTTTGGCTTCTACTTAATGACATGTTTAATTTTTAGATCTCGAACGTCTGAAAGAACTCAGCTGGCAGGTCAGAAATCCACGTACGTACCACCTCTGAAGAGCATGAATAGAAAGGATTAACAGAAGGATAATCAAACTTCATCTATAATCTCTTCTGCTGCTGCTGGATTATGTTAAATGGTTTTATGGTGAGTTTTAGAATGTGATCTGTCTTTGATTTCACTCTGCAGTAATTGCACTGAAGTCAGCCTGGCAGGTGGAGGTGTCTGAAAAGGGCAGCGTGCGTCTTTGGCTTCAGACCGAAAGTCTCAGTAGTTCTGCTGAGCTCCGTCTTATCTTCAACGACCGAGAAATGTCCAGCAATTCGGTAGGTTTCTCACTTAACAGATAATGTAGTCGGAAGAAGAGCTGCAAGAACTTTGTTTGAGCTCTGGGTTAATATAATAAGTATTTCTTATAAATTATAGAGAAAACAATCGGATTAAAACTTTGATATACTGAATTTAATAGGCTGAAAACTAAGTATTGCACTCCATATTCTCATTTAGTATGATGCAAATTTGACCTGTCAAGCAGTCAAACAGTGATCAAAACATCTCTGTGTTATCAATAATATATGACAGTTTGTAAAATAGCAACCTTATTTCAGAAACACACAAAAAAAAACTGAAATCTAGAAGTAATTTTTTCTTAAAATAAGTGTATTTGTTCTTGGATTGAGTAGGTAAATGAGACATTTTGCCAATGGAATAAGACAATTTACACTTAAAATAAGAAAACACAATTGCATTGTCTTTTTTCAGGTGCATTTTATCTATGTCTCTTATTGTAAGAGTAAAAATACTCATTCCATTGGCAAATTATTTCATTTACCTGATCAAATTAAGTATAAATACACAGTGCTGTCAAATTCCAAAATGCTGAGATCAGATTTGAGTGTTTGTCATTGTTTCTTCAAGTTGTAAATATGAGGAAACTCAAACATGCTGAGTGGGTCCAGGTTTCTATGTATCGCAATGTGAGTGCATCTGTCTTCATGACAGCTCAGCATGATTCCAAAACAGCAATTAGTGTCTTAATAAGCATCCTAGGAAATAGACGCTGTCAGTGAAGATGAAGCACAGGTGAGTATGGCTACAGAAAGGTCTGGGAGCTCAGTTGATTTAATCAAGTGGAGAATGCAGAAAGATCGCCTGAGGTGAAGGAGACAGAGCTCACATCTGATTAAACATGTCAGGCTTAATTAGTGCAACATGAATGATCTTTTGAAAAAAAAAAAAAAAGATTTACCTTGATAAATAAAGAAATACTAGGAAATAATGATTTACATTGTTCTTTTTGATAGGTGGACGTAGGTGTTAGACGTAGATCGTTTTTGAAACATTGTCCTAATCACTTTATTAGCAAACACAAACATTCTTGTGGCTGCCATTCATAAAAAAACAGCCTATCTTTCCTTGTATTTAAATGTGTGCCTTCACGGACAAAGCTACATACGTTGATTATAATAAACACAAAAAAGCTAAGCATTCATCTTTTAATTAAAAAACATATGAAAAGTGTGTGCTGATAGTGTTAGTCTAAAATATGTTTACACTGGGTGGGATCAGTATACACAAACATAGGTGTGCACCATCTACCAGCAGCTTATATTACCAAATTAGAAACGTGAACAGTATTAGTTATTGTACACAATTACTTTTCCATCACTATAACTAAGAGCCTAAGAATAACATTACTATCAATATTAATAATGTTGTGTAATCTATGAACCATGAATCAGACGAATCTAAATGCTTCCACAGCTTTAGCCACTGCTTTAGGTGACCTCACCGTCCATGTTGGATTCCTGGTGCTACTTGACCTGATCTTGAACTTTCCTTTTTCTTTTGCATTTCCACTCTTGTTACTACTATCTCATTTGGTTTTATTTCTGCTCCCATATGTCATTAGCTTTCTTCCTTGTTTTTACTTCTATTCATTGTGCACATGTGCCTCCCTTCAGTGATATAATGATGGTACATATACACAAAGCTCCCTACGTATTAACAAATAGAGCAACATCAACATGTAGAACAAAAACATAAGATTTAATAAGGCTACAAGGCATAAAAATTGAATCAGAAGACCTTTGCATGCAACCAGTGGGAACCACTAGCGTAGAAATGTGTGAGGTTAGAGTACGTGATTAGACCCATTTAACTAGGAGATTTATGAGATGCTAATGTTTCCAAATCCAGCATTTTACATGACAGATGGCTGTTTATTTCAGGGGGTAAATCACAAACCTACTTGGTAGCAAAATGTTCTGCCTTACTGTGATATGATTAAAGTCTCGCTTTCTCTTCGGCCTAACTGAACATGAACCTTTAGCGTAATAATAGTGTCAGTTTAAATAAGGTCCTGCATCAGTGCAGAGTTACTGATGCTTAAATGGAGACATTTGAATATTTTCACTCAGTAAAAGCATCATTGCCAAAAAGAGTTACACTGAATGTAAAAAAAAATATAACCTTTCTAAAGGGCAACTAAATGTTCAGGTGCATCTATCATTACTATTGACTTTTATAAAAAAGTGACAGTAAACTTTGCAACATATAACTGTTACCATTTCAAACACCTAGCAGACTTTATATATTAGTTTGACACCTTCTAATTCAACCATTGGACCAATATTAGCTCTATATACCTTATCTGAGTAAAAAAGCAGCCTAACAACATTTAGAAAACCTCTAGAAACTCTGGATAAATTTCATCAAAATCAATTTAGAAAATGAAACAAAAGTCTGAATTCTAATTATGCAGGGTATAAATAAAGTATGAGGTGGTTAAAAATGTTTGTGCAGTAACATGTATTTGAAATCTTGAAAACTGCTCATTAGAAGCGGCTAAAGGTCAAAGGAAAAAAGTTTTTAGATTCTCATTCTTATGCGAACAACCCATATATTTGATTTGCAACAATTCAATTCAGTTTATTTATATAGCGCCAAATTCACAACACATGTCATCTCAAGGCACTTTACAGTTCAACCAGATCATACAGTCAAATTGATACAAAGTTTTCTGTCTAAGGAAAACCAGTTGATTGCATTGACTCAAATACAATCCCTCACACTAAGCATGCTTGTAGCGACAGTGGAGAGGAAAAACTCCCTTTTAACAGGAAGAAACCTCCAGCAGAACCAGGCTCAGTGTGAGCGGCCATCTGCCGAGGCCGAGTGGGGTTCAAGGAGACAGAAGCAGAGATACAAAAAGCAGCTGTAAAAGGCGGCCCCGTCCAGGAAACACACAGCCAGGCAGACGAGCTCCGAGCCAGCTCCCATTCCAGAGGACGAAAAGAGCACATCCACTCAGTCACGGTCAGAGAAACAGGACCACACTGGAAAACAGGCCGATCTCCAACATCTATAAACAAGGGTGTTGATGGAAGCAGCACAGCTGATGTTTCTTTCCAGGATGGCGTCACAGCCAAACAGGAACAGACGAGGCAAAGCTACTCTGAGGAAAAGCAGAGAGAGCAGAAGGTTAGAGATTGAACTAACAGATTCTGCAGAATAGGAGAACCATGGGCGTAGGTTTGCATAGGGACCATAGGGACATGTCCCTACCAAAATTTTGGACGGACCTATTTGTCCCTACCAATATTTGGATGTGAACAACATGTTTATAATTTACTATACAGCAGCCGCTTCTTTTCCTCTCGGTTTAACTCTCTGATTATTCTGCCTTAAGTTCCGCCTTCTCTCTTTCTGATTGCGTGTTTTCTAGTCTGTATGTGCGCGCGCGGGTGCTTGGAGCGCAAAAAAAAAAGACGCTAAAATAAATTAATATTGGGCTACGAAACTAGTCCAAATTAAAAAACTTATTATCTACGCTAAAACAGCCGAAAGCTTCTGATTGGAGTTCTGTAAAGAAGCAGGAGAGAGTTTTTTGATTTGTGGAACTTGAGAAATGTAAGTTAACAACGTTAGGATTTCTTTTATTTTATCTTTTAATCAGATAGCCAAAGGCTCCTGAAAGAAGATCTTTTATGAAATGAAACCAGGTGAAACAGAAACATTTAAACGTTTCCTTTGGAGGAGTTCTGGATGGAGAATATTGACAGACAAAAACTTTTTTTTTTTTTTTACTTTTTAAATGCTAAATGTTTACATATTTTTTACAATCTTGGTATAATTCCTGCTCTAAGTGGGTCGGCTAAAGGCACATTTTAGTGGCCCTATACTCCAGTTTACGATTAATCAATTACTAAATTAGTTCACGATTATTTAAATAATTTGTTAATATGATTGTTTCAGCCATAGATAAAATACATGAAATTAGCTACACAGAGTAACTACAGCCCAGATGTACAACTTCTAATATTAATATTTTAAATGCTCAGTGTCAGTTCCTCTTCTAGTTCCAGTGCACATGTAAATACAATACATTTATTTGCTGTCCCTTGAATGTATTATTTTGCATGATCCAGAGAGAGCATATTAGATAAAAAAAAAATAAGAGTGGGTTTTACCTCTGCACAATTCTATATCTTCAGAAGAAAACACAGGATAAATCCACACATTATAGACTATATTTGGTTAAACAGACACCGTCTTAGTAGCAGGTAAATTTAAATGCAATCCTTTTCAAAGTGGAAAAAGTCCTAATTCCACATTCATCAGAGCCAGTTATGCTTTAAATATTGATAAACAGCATCCAGTGCATGTAGTGCTTATAATATTTGTATTAATGTAGCAAGAAATGCTGCTGTTCTCTTTTAACAAAATGAGCCCTGAAGCTCACATTAAGCATAAAAAAGAGCATGCATATTTTTGCAAAGGACCAATGAAACTGAAGAATATTGTCCCTACCAAAGTTGAAATCAAACCTACGCCCTTGAGAAGAACAGAGAGAGAATGAAGCAGAATGATGAAATGGGGGTCCCTATGTCCTCCAAAAGTCTAAGCCTATAGCAGCATAACTATAGAGATAGCTCAGGATAACCTGAGCCACCCTAACTATAAGCTTTATCAAAAAGGAAAGTTTTAAGCCTAGCCTTAAAAGTAGACAGGGTGTCTGCCTCACGGACTAAAACTGGTAGTTGGTTCCACAGGAGAGGAGCCTGATGACTAAAAGATCTGCCTCCCATTCTACTTTTAGAAATTCTAGGAACCACTAGTAAACCTGCAGATTGAGAGCGAAATGATTTAGTTCAGTTTAAATTCAGGTTAATCATATAGCACCAAGTTTTATCACCAATTCACTCTACAGACATTTCAATCAAATCATACAGATACAGAAGATTGGTTAAAAAAAGGATAATTTTACTGGTATTGTTGACAAAAGAAAATGAAGCTAGATTGCAAAAACAGCAGCAGTGTAACCAAACATAACCTGAATGTAGACAAATATATTAGATTAGAAAAATAGAATAGTAAATCCCTTTATTGTTCCGCAATGGGGAACTGTAAAAAAATAACAGAATGATAATAATAATAATCATACATGATTGTTGTGACAGCAAGTGGAAAAGAATGATTGCTTCCATCATAGTTATTGAAACGTGTTCTGAGGTGGCTGCCGGAGAACGAGACTGAATGTTTGTCGCTTCTCTCGGTTGTGACTGCTCTACATTCAGTGGCTTCCATTTTGTTCCAGTGTTTCCCAATATGTGAGCTGCATCTGAACAGCACTGATTATACATTATTTCTAAATGATCAGAGTTGAGATATGCAAATGCTGAGGCCATTTAACTGATTAGGGCCCTCCAGCTTGCCATACATCACAAATCACTTCCACCAACCAAGGCCTATAAACATGCAAGGCACACTCTTAGCTTGATGAACATAAAAGCCATGAAAATGAGTTCAAGGTTTGTTCCCCATGTGTCGCTGCTTGTTTGTGTGTTTGCATCTTTTATTGAACAGAAATATTTTATCGTCAGAGTGCAGATGTTACTTCAGACCCTTTGCACTCTGATTCATGTTGCATTCTCTTTGAGCAAAAAGCCATATATACAGTGGATGTCAAGCCGCATGTGGGATGATCTGCCTGATTATGAGCTGATGAACGCTGCCTTCAGTAACATTTGTTTGCTTTTCTGCAGCGCTGTAAGATAAACTTCGACAAGGCCAAAGGTCTGGTGGAGATACTGTTTGATCCGCTCTCTCAGGAAGATGAGGGCTCATACACTGCTCAACTGAGGGACGGGCGCGCCAAGAACCAGTGCACTTTGGTCTTTGTGGATCAAAGTGAGTCATTTATTCTGCAGAACAGAATTTGTCATATTGCTTGCAATGCATATCACTGGGAAATTCCAAATCTAATTGACTGGAACATTAGAGACAGGCTGCATGGAAAAATATTCATAGATTAAAAAAAAATTTTAAAAACAGATAAATATTTGAAGCATAATTATTTCCACTTATCCTTCCCATTTTGAATTGATCTCTACTTGCATTCTGAGTTTATTGCAATACTATTTATAAACATTTTATACATTCTAACCACATTTTGTCATGTATTTCATTTGAATTTTGTTGTGATACTGTAGCACAAAGTAGTTCATAATTGTAAAGTGGTTCCAAAATAATACAAGATTATTACAAAACAGAACAGAACCAGTGAATATACCAGTTACCTATTAGGTTAATTATTTGTAGATAAAGTCCAACAGTGTGCAGTATAATCTAAGGATAAAAACAACTGCTGTGTGGAGACCTCTACTGTTTGTTAAAAGGCATTAGCAAGCAACAAGCTTTACTAAAGATTAAGATGTGGAAAAATTTAAAGCAGGTTTAGGTCATAAAACAATATGCGAAAGCGTTGAGCATTATGAGGAGTGCTTTTTAATGAATTCTGTGAAATTATAAAGAACACAGCACAGCTGCAAACCTAGGAAGACAAGGCTGCAGCAAAAGTGACAGACTATATAAAGAAAATCAACCAGAACCAGAACATTTACCGGTATTAGAAAAAGAGTTAACTATGAAGGAATGGCAGAGAACCCAAAATCTGTCAACAGAAAAACTGCTTGTCGTTTACATCCTACATGTAGAACAGTGTGGTTAGAACAGCACATTTCACATCCCCATTACGGTATAACATCTTCCTGCAGGGAAAACTGTTTAGACTTGATGGTTTCAAATCAATTTACATTGTGGAATGGTTCAGTCAAAGTCCAGACCTAAATAAAAATAGGAGGAAATAGGAACAACTTAGAAGACTTATAGATTTATATAAGCAGATGGTCTCTATACATTGTGACTGTGTTGAAGTCATTTTACAAGGAAAATAAAAACAAAATTCCCATCGCATGTCTCTAGTAATGCAAAGTTGACGGAAACATACGTATCCCAAATGACTTGAAACTGCTTCAAAGTCAGGTTCTAGAAAGCTTTACCTGAAGGAAGGCAAAATATACTAGATACTTTTCCTTCAACTATATGCATTATTTGAGAATATCTATCTAATATCTATTATATATATCAGATGTCTTCAACAGGGGGTCTGCGACCCCTAGGGGGTCCACAGAGGTACTGCATGGGGGTCGTGAAAGTTTTCGTTGATTAGACTTTTTTTTAATGTTCCCCCCTGCAATTTTTTCCACTAATTGAAATGTCTTTAAATCCACATTAACATGAATTCAACACACTGTACTAAACAGATAAATGGAGGCAGAAGATGTCTTTCAGTCATCAATGCACACATTCAGTGACACACAGGAGCTCTTTCAGCAGGGCACCATTTCATTCACAACACCTGTCCCATCAACGAGGAAATAGAATCAGAAATACTTTAATAATCCCAGGGTGAAATTACTTTCATTACATTACTCCATATGTAAAACAATGACTATAGGACCAGCCTGATATAACACAATTTCATACAATATATATAATTAGGGCGTCCCCGCTCCATGGCCTGGAAAACATTGAAGACCCATATTATTCCATAATTCTTAAAAAAAAAAAAAAAACATAAAATATAAGATTTATGGCTGTAATATGATAAAGTGCACAATTTTAAGCAATGAATACATTTGCAAGTTATTGTGTTGTAGAGTCTAATCTGTTTTATCTTATTAGAGTTTCGTGAGATACTGGCCTTGGCTGACTGGAAAAGATGGGACATTAAGAGAAAGACTGGTAAGAGATGCTCACATGACAAAAACTGACAGTTGATAAAAAAATATTTTTTTAAATCATACTTAAGTTATTTTACAGATTACTTAGGATGAACAGGGAATGAACACAAAAGGAGACACCGGCAGAGGAAAATACCTCCTGTAATTTTACATATAGCCGTGGTTAATAATAATTTGTATCATCATGTGTGTTTTTGTCCCATAAAAATCAGCCTTAACTGTTTGTTTTTTGGTATTATTTTAACAGGGAGAGGAGAAAATAATAAAACGTTATAGTAGATGTGCCAGAGTAAGAAAAAAGGCTATATTCTTCATCTATTGTCGCTGGAGATTTTTGTTCTTCTCAAATGTTTGTTTTTACCTCCTTTCATGTCCATTTGTTATGTATGCACAGAGGCCAGTGCCCCAACGGACACTTGTGCACAACTGTGCAAAAGTGCAATTCGTTTCTGTTACAAATTGACTTAATTTGTACAGGTGCCATTTGTGTTCACCACAGTTACAGCATTTCCATGCAAAAAAAAAATCACACCTTTCATCCCAGTTTTTCATTTGAAAATTAGATACTTTGCAATTTTTATTTTTTGTTTGTTTTGCATAATTATTGTATTGTATTTGTAATTATTGTTTGTCCTAAACGAAAATTGTTTTGCTGTCATCATTTATGTGGCTCAAAGTAATTAATTCCGTTTTGTTTGTTTTCTGTTTGCTTTTTATGTTTTTTTAAGGACCTTATTTTCAGGAATTCCTGACATGGAGTGTGAACCAGGATTGTGAATTATTTATACAATGCAAGGTACTATTAAATCTTAAATTTAAAACGTCCTGATTCTTAAGACAGCTCAGCTAAGATTATAATAGGAGAGAAAAATCTGCTATTTTAGCACTAACCATGATCTTAGAAATTATTCTCTCTTTCATTAATTATTCAACATATTTCATGCTCTTTAGACTATTATTCCCAATTTCAGGCCAAAGGGATATATTCTTACTCAAGAAATAAAGATTTATCTGTATTCAGATCCAATAATGACAAAGTTTCCCTGTTTAAGTTAATGTTTGGGTGATCATGATCCTTAGTAAAAAAAATAAATCAATATTTAGTATGTATGTAAGAGACACATTTTTATTGTAGTTGTTGCTGCCAGCAGCTGGGATTTTGGGCCCAGGTTGGAATAGAAAACCTTTTTAACTTAATAAATTAAAACTTGGTTTAAAAGCCAATTTCTCTATTCACTCGCACTGTCATTGCATGATTTTAAAAAGGCTTATAAAAAGAAGCTTAAAACAGAGAAGAGCTTTTTCACACTAATCTTAATACAGTAGCTCATTTGTAATAGGGTTTTTGGGGGAGATTATTTTTGTTAAAAAACTGCAAAATAAAGAGAGAATTTCACAATAACTATTTGAAGGCCCTTTAAAGCTCTTCTCTATTAACGACAGATATAGAGCCAGACAGATTTAAAGACCAATCTATAGCCTTAGAACCAACAAAGAGCAAATGAAATGAGAAAACTATCATTTGTCTAGTGTTTCATTTCCTTGGAGTGACATGATTTATATATCCTCACTAACAGGTGACAAACACAAGTAAAGACACGTCCTTAAAGTGGTTCAAGGATGGTGTGGAAGTTAAAGACTTTGATTATGATCAGACATCTGGGGTCAGCTCACTCACAATCCCACAGGTAAGAGGAAAAAGATGAAGCTGCCTTGTCTTCCTGTATTAGGAACACCATTCATAAACTGTATCTGAGAGACATTTAATGGACTGAGCTTCGACAGTTTGTATAAAGAAATGCTTTCGTCAGTTTTCAGGGTTAATTTTTGTTGGAAATAATAGATAATATAAGCTGTTTTTGTTTTTCCAAATCTATTAAATGATTGACTTTAAACTGACTTTCTTTAGGTGACAAAGAAAGAGGCTGGTTTGTACAGAGCTGTGGTGTCGGACAGTCGAGGAGAAGATGTCAGCACTTTAGAGCTTCTGGACAATGGTTAATCCTAATCTCATCATAAAAATAATATACTTCATCATTCATTCATCCAGCCATAATGCAAATAAAGCCACTATTATTATTGATATTCAGGTTCTGCTATATTTTTTTACAGAATATGACAAGCTTCTTCAGCAGCTAAGTGAACAATGCGGTGAGATCTAAATAGGAAATATTGGTGCCCTGTGTTATCACGTAGGAATGGCATGTTAATTAAACCTTTTCATTTAAGCCACATGCAAATGTGTGCCAATAAAAAATGAATAATGAATAATAATCTAAAATCCTGTCTACAGCCTTGTCAGCTGGTCCGCTACAGATTGAGAGCACTGCTGAAGGTTTCAAGATCTACTCCTCCCTTAGATACTACATTAGCTTCCTGAAGACAAGCTGGTACCTCAAGTAAGTCTGTATGCAGAACATTGTTCTGTTTAATAATCCTGGGTGAAGCTGATACTTTTGCGTTTCCTTCAAATATAGGGTTCCTCATGTTGTCTTGAAATGCATGTTTTCTAGGTTAAAGGTATAGTGAAAGATTTTGGTGAATTTTTTAAAAGACCCGCCCTCTTTACTTTAAAAAAAAATGCATATGCACAACCCTGTACCCGCTCCCAAGAGAGGACGACTATTAAAAGTGTGTGAGAGCGTGCATGAGCCCTTTTCCCTTTGCGTATTCTTTGTTTAAAAATTGCTGTTTGCATCGCTCATACAAGCTCACTTCCAAAAGAAGATGTGCAATTTTTCCAGTATGCCAGACTCACCACTGGTAGGTGAAAATGGGGATGACCATGTACTACAGCCTTATATAAACATATCACCAGAATGATTGACAATTAGGAGAACCACTTATTTTGATGATCCACCCAGAAAAAGAACATCATCCACTATACCTTTAAGATAAGTGAATTTCTTATCAACAGCATGCATTATAAACATATGAGTCTCATTGTTTTTGGATAATATATCTGAACCACTGTTCTTTTTTTTTTTTCAAGGCAGAATGATAATGCAAAATCCGTGATTTGAATTTGTGGATTTTCTCTTATCCCAACAGTGTCAACATCAAATATACCATCTAGATTGCAAAGGGTAAAATGAGTATTAATATGCCTTTTTCAATTTAAATGTGTCTAATGATGTAACCGATAAATAATAAGTAAAATTTAATAAACACAGGCAAAGACATCAAAGCTAATTTCTCAATAAATAGAGTTGCTACAAAATGAGTTGACCAAGAAAAGAACTGAAAGCACAATCAGAGGTTGTGTTTCACACATACATCCACTTTGCTGGGGTGATAATGTGCTGCACAAAGAAGAGCAAACAAAAAACTGTCATGAAACACATTAGAAATATATACTTAGAAATATATTTAATTGCAAACTTACTAACACACAAACTATGACCATGCAAACTTACTAACTTTTAAATCTTATACTGGATTTGCCAAATGAGCGTTTTAAATCATATTAAATTACATTTTTAAAGTAGAATAACTATTTTTATTTGAATTGATTGGTTAAATTCTATTAAATCAGTGAAAACTGCTGAGCCAAGAGCTTTGAGATGGTTTTAAAAAGCTCAATAATAGCCTGTTTGTTCCATCCTAACATGAGTTTAACAAACTGCTTTTAGCCTTTTAGCCTCAGATGAATGAAAAGGCTGAAAGGTCAAGTTAATCATGTCTCACTATCCTTTAGGGAAGCCAGTTTTACATTGTCGTTAATTGTAAGATGTCGATGAAGAAGGCAGAAAACCTGCTTCAAAACTGCTACCTTCACTCATAGCAAACATCTGCCACTGGTCTCATGAACAAGACAAAAGCCTTTTGAAAAAACTGTTGTTTTCAGTTGAGAGTATTATTTAGCTGTCTGGGCCCAATTAAAAGAAGAATAAGTGGAGGAGTTCAAATTAACCTTTATATTTCTAAACAGTGCTCTAACTGTCATGTATAGTGATGGTAGGATTGTGCTTTAGGGCTTTATCATTGAAAGTGTCCCTGTTGCATTGTACAGTGTGAATAGAATAATGGGGAGGGGGAGGAGAAGTAGGAGGAGGCCTCAGTTCAAATTAGCAGCTAAAGCATAATGACTATTTTCGTTTTTCTGGGTAAAGAGTTTATCTTAGGGAGAATTTTTGTGCCTTTTTTATGGCTTTTCCACAGCAAGAAATTTGGATATCTTCATTGAATATGATTTTACTTCTCTAATTTAGCAATGTGATAAATTTTAGAATATTGTTAATATTTACCTAGTAATGATGGAAAAAGTAAGTCCAGTTCATCCAATGGAATAAGTAAATATGCATTCAACTGATTAAGGCCCTACGCATTATGTTCACACTGGCATATTAATGTAATATTTCAGCATTTAAAAATGTAATGTTTCCAATATTTTCATGCAATTTTAAAGGATCAGTTCTTATAATTTTCTGTAACAAATGGTGAAAGATGTTTAGGTTTGCTTAGTTTTGTATGCTAACAGTTTTGTAAGTTTTTTCAAACATTGCTTAACACTTTTGTGTTTACTTAATCTTAGAAACTCTTTTTCTTAAGGGGATAGCACCACCTCCTGGAAGAGCAGGGGATATTTAACAATATTTTTTTAACTTTGTTGTTGCAGAAATATTTTCATGAAAGATTTCATTAAAAATGTTTTTGATATCAAATAAATTATATTAGATGGAAAATAACTAATACTGATTAAACAACAAAACATGAGTCAACACAGGAGTTTGTGTTTTTTAAGTTGATAACTAAAGTTTAAAAGAAAAATTTGATTATTTTAAAAGAGGAATTTAGGTGACTTTAAATGGAACTTTGCTGTTGGTACCAGTTGAGCTGCTCTGAGTATTTTGGGAAACAGCTGATCTATTGGGACTCTTCTAGAAGTCAGAGATCAGAGGAGCATGGTTGGACTGCTCACAGATTATATAACAAACCACTCATTACCACCATGGTATGCAGAAGGCTAAACTTTACTATATGATAGCACACCTAGTTTCTGAGCTGCAGCAGCACAGTGGCTGTCCCCCCTGTAGACTTAGAACCAGATGCTTAGACTATAGATTGGTGCGATCAGCCAAGTCTTTCAGTTATGATATGTGAATATTAGGATCAAAATGTGTCATAAAGGGTATGTAAGCATCCAGCAGTCCTGCCTTTACTCAACAATTTATGGCCGAGGATGTCTGTTAGTCTGAGAGATAACTTCTGCCTCATTTTTAGCCCTTTTGTACGAGTCAAGAATCACGTACGAAATGCTACCGGGGTATCAATGCTGACCACATCCATACCTTTATAACAATATCTGTCTATAGTATGAGGTTTATTGCCAAATTGGTCACGTGATCATCACAATGGGTTCATTGTGATGTTGAAGATGATGATGATCATCAGACCTCAGTACAACAGATCACCTTTGAAACATGTTAGAATGGGATATTTATGTCATGGATGTTCAACCGGCAGACCTGTAGTAACTTCATGCTGGTAGAATGTCTGTATGGATGATTCATTTATTGACCTTGTTCAATCTGAGACAGGAAAATTTAAAGGAAGCCCTGAACGTAAGAGGCATCAACATGGTACCATAAGATCTTATAAAGAGGGAAAAGAGTGAAAAGCATGTATAGTCGATGTACTAAATATAAACAGTAGATCTGTGTTTATCTCCTTGCTTGTAGAGGGAGGAAACTTGACCAGGAGGCCAGGTCAAAGCCTGGGAGTAGCATGCAGAAAGTCTGGATTGAAATCTTAAACCCGACAGAGAGCGACAAAGGTGAATACACCTTGGAGATGTTTGATGGCAAAGAGACACACAAACGTTTCTTTGAACTATCCACAGAAGGTAAGAAGACATTGAGCAGTGGTTAAATAGATTAAGGCTAAATGGAAAAACATCTTAGGTAACATTAATTGTTTTCTATCTCTGTGAATCTTCCTGTATCTGTTCACAGCATTTGCTGAAGCCTTGCTGGAACACCAGAGGTTAAAGTAAGTGCATGCAATCCCAGAAAAAAGCTTCGATTGATTGTTGGGTCAATTAAAGAAAGCATGAAAAAGTTCAAGTCACAAAAGATCAATGCAGAGTTAGCTTGCTTGGTACTGCTACAGCGTTGAGTCATCCCAAAGCTGACTGTTTTATTTCTCCCTTAGGCAACAGGCATTTGCTGAAAAAAGTAAGTCCCACGTGATAACTCTATGAAATTCCTTTGTTTATTTCATTTTGAATTATTCTCAGAGATTTTTTTCTGCTCATTTCCAGATCGTGCCAAAGTGATTAAAGGGCTTCCAGATGTTGTAGCCATCATGGAAGGCAAGGTGAGGCTTTGTCAAAGAACACCTTTTGTTATGAAATCCCAGATGTTCTATATTTCCAATCATTTCTGCTCTCCTCTCAGTCTCTATGTCTGACATGCTTCATTGATGGCGACCCAGCTCCTGAGATCATCTGGCTTCGCAACGATAGAGAAATCCTTGATCAGACTCAGTTTACCATCTCAAAGGAGTCCAAGCGAACCTCCATTACTGTCAACCAGGTCACCACGGAAGATTCTGGAAAGTACAGCATCTTTGTGCGCAACCAGTATGGCTCGGAAACTGTTGATGTGACACTGAGTGTGTACAAGAAGGGCGAGAAGCCTCCAGCAAATGCAGTGGAAATGGGTTAAAACTGCAAACTGCAGGAATCCAATTTCTTCAAACTGAGATGTTTTACCTGGTCTGATTGTTCTCATTTAATAGAAGTATTACAAAATAGGAAGTGCTTTGCAGTATTAATATCCCATGAACTTTTTCCACAGTTTGTTGTAAGAGTTGTATGTTACAGAGCAACAGGAGCTAGGATACGGTAAGGATGTGTCTTGGGTTATCATTATCATAATTATCTATTTGTTTTTAAGACTGAAACGACAGAAAGACAACATAAAAATTAAACAAGCTAGAAATAATAAATAAAAAAAAAACATAAAATCTGACAATATAAGCAATCAAATCTGCATCAAAAGACAAATAAGCTTTTGGTCTACTGGAGATATGTTGATGTACCCTTTCTGAGATAAAGAGATGAAGGACCATATAGATATTATATAGTATTTGTATTAAAATCTAAACTAGAAATCCAAAAACTACTCTAAACAAAACAAGCAGCCAATGAAAGGAAAACAAATTTCAGATGATTTCATGTCATGTCATCATGTCCCCATTAACAGATGGCCTGCTGCTAAATTGTAAACCAGATGATGACAGTGGAGAGGAGACTGGTAATCCCATTATAGAGAGAGAACTGCAATAGTCTAGTATAGAAGTAATAAAAGCATGATGAACCCTCTCAAGGACATAATGAGAAAGATAATTTATGACTTAACTAATAAGCCTCAGAATGATAATGGTTATGCCAACTCTGCAAATCCCATTTTTCTTTGCAAATGATCTAAGTCAGTTTGCATGAAATCCCTCTGCAAACATTAACTACTAATATTTTATATATATAAAATTGTATCTATATACAAACTAAATTGAATACAATTCTAGAAACAGATCATACAGTCAGATTGGTTCAAATGAGCTGACTGCCTTGAGTCGTTGACTTTGCAAGAGACGCTCTTCCTGGAGAGCACATGGCAACATTAGATATCTACTTGCATTTTGTATGATTTTACAGCAATCCCTTACACCAAGCATGCATGCAGTAACAGTGGAGAGGAAAACTCTCTTTTAACAGGAAGAAACCTCCAACAGAACCAAGCTCCATCTTCCGAGGGTCAGCTGGGGTTCTAGGAGACAAACAGACATGCAAAAGGAACATAGAAGCACTAATCCGTAAACACTTTGTATGTTAAAGAAAGTAATGGTAAAAAAGCTCCATAGGTAGAGTTTTAATATACTCTAGTGCTAGAGTGCATGTGTCTGCCAAACTGAATAGAATGGTTGAATTACCTCTTAAGGCAGTTAAGTTTTAGGAGTTTTACAACCCAGTTATGTTATTTATATTTGATGGCAATTAGATATACTAAAACCAACTCTAGAGGCCTGTAGTTTAACACCTGTGATCTGAACTATTTAAGCGTTTCTCTGCCTCTATGTTTGCTTCATACCTAACTGTATATTAGTTATAGGTGCATTGTCGAAATCAATAACCTCTATTTATCCTGACATCTGATTTCCAGCAAAAAAAAAAAAGACGTATTTTTTATACAGCTTTGTATAAATTCAGGCATTGTGATTTATGGGTCTCTTATATAAAGCAACTTTAGATCCTTCCACTGTGAAAGGTGATATGTAAGACATTTGATTTATCTTGATTTGGTCAAATAAAAAGCTCCTGTGGATGAAAGTAAGAGTTGCTGCGAAGGTTGTTTGTAAAAACCTTCCTTCTATCCTACTATCATCCAAAATCACCTCACAAACAGAACAATAAACATCACCAAGGACACCTTTATATCTCCTCCATAAATTCTTAAATGCTGAAAATCCAGCAAACAGTGATGCAGTGCGAAAAGCTAAACCTCTGGTGTTCCTCCTACTTGCTGAATAAGAAGCACTAAACACTAAATTTTCTCTTACAGTGTTTTTGTTTTAGTTCTAGCTTTTATTATTTATTATTGCACACTAATTTGAGTAAACTATATAGTGAGTCTAGAATGTAGATGTTTTTATCCTATATCTGTTTAGAATGTCTTATGTTGATCCTAAATAAGCACTCTTCCGTTTAGCTGCACCAACATTCTACAATAATAAAATCTGACCCAGAAAAAAATTTGATGTGAAAACAAACTGTGATAAAGTTTCATGGGGTACAGCTGTTAAGTGCAGTGCCACTTCTTTACGTTCTAATCATTTAGCTGAAATTAAACAAACCACGAGAAAGGATTGCATTGTTTTATTTTGTTTGCTGTTGTTATGGTATTCTTGCTTGTGTTGTTTCTTTCTTTGAGGTAGAAATAAAAATCTACTTAACTAGCCTTCCTTCTAAATTATCTTAATGCTCCATTTATTTTTAGGCTTTTATTCTAAAGATAGCACTTAAGCTTTAGGCCTGTGTTTATAGTTCAACGAATGTATTGGTTGTGTTGGTAATAAAGCTGTTTTCAATTACCGTATTGGGATTATTTCTCTTTTGAGAAAAAAAAACAGCATTGTGAACCCTATGATGAATAAATGATTAAAAATGGACAGTTAGTTATTGTGTGTAATGTTGCAACAGCTGTGGTCACTTTCAACTGAAAAGCAAAGTCCCCCGTGTCATTAACCCCATTATTTGGTCTCAACTGTAAGGTAAGATCCATATTTGGAGATTCAGCGGTACACTGAGGACAACCTGCAGAGATTAATTAATCTATTGAGCAACGATCTCAGCAAAAACTAATTCAAAATTAATTTGAAAAAATGAATGCAAGTCTAGACGGTTTTATGCATTAAAATATGATTCAATTCTTACAGACAGGAGACTATCCCATTTTCTGTTTTCCAAGCTCCATTTTCATCTTGTCTTCAACCGTAAAATAGATAACAACAATGCATAAATACTCTGAATATTTTTTTAAACATATTTTATAGATGATGTGTTGTGCATTATATAGAATTGCTAATTAAAATTTTCCTCTACTGAGCCTGAGGCTTCAACATGCAGGAGTAACTGAACTCTGGGTTGTTTAAACAATTTCTCAGAGGACTTTGTAACTCATTGCACAGAGGACTGTGAATCCCTCTGTGGCTATAAAAAGGTGCAGGAACGCACCATTCTTCTTCACATTGTGCTCAGCTTCACGCAGCCATCTCAGCTTCCAGCTACTTTGGTCAAGGAGAACCCAGACCCTCTTGAAGACATGGACCTCAACGGAACATGGCAGGTTTACTCCCAGGAGAACTACGAGGAGTTCCTCAAAGCCTTGGGTGAGAAAAGCATTTACAAATTTTACATCAACTAAAGTCAATTTATGCAAGGTATATTTCATCTTGGGCAGATTACAACTATTTTTTTCTACTTTACAGAACTCCCAGAAGATGTTATCAAGATAGCCAAGGACATCAAACCTATTACTGAGATTAAGCAGACAGGCAATGACTTTGTCATCACTTCTAAGACACCTGGAAAAACCGTGACAAACTCCTTTACCATCGGAAAAGAGGCTGAAATTACCACCATGGGTGGCAAGAAGCTAAAGGTTGCTAAGTTTTGCTTATCTTCTTTAATGAGACACACATCCTGAGCCAAGGCTACTTAAACCATCTGTCTATATCCCTTATAACCAGTTTATTTATGTACTTTTTTTGTTTTGTTTCACTGCTTAATTGTCTGCTATTATTTGACTGTTTCACTGTTGGTTCTGAATCCTTTCCTCTTATCTTTAATCAGTGCATTGTCAATTTGGAGGGAGGCAAACTGGTCTGCAAAACCGGCAAATTCAGTCACATACAGGAACTCAAAGGCGGAGAAATGGTTGAGGTATGGTGCATTCCAGTAAATTTCTTGCACAATCATATTTATCAGAGAGAAAGCTACACATCAAGCTTTTTGACTGTTTAATTACAACCTCTGAAATAATATTTGCTTTCTTTGTCTTGTTTAGACTCTGACGGTGGGCTCAACAACTCTTATCAGGAAGAGCAAAAAGATTTAAATCTGGGAGTGACAAAGATACAATGTCTATTTAAATAAAGAAAGGCTGTGTAATGTGTGTTTGTATTGTTTTATGTCCACATGTGTTTAGTGGGAGCTAAACTGACGAGCTTTAAAAAAGAATCAAATCCACAACACAGGCAGAGCTTTACAAAGAAAAAGTTAAAACACATTTAGTTTATCCAAATAAAAATGAAAAAGGTTCTTCCGGTGGGTTTTCTATGGACCTTCAGTTATTAAAGATTCAACATCTGGAGATAAACAGTCTGACCCTAAATTTAAATCTAAAGGTGAATAAACAGCTGGCAACTGTAACTGTTTTTTTTTTTTTTTTGAAATGGCATATACATACATATATCATTACATCTTTATGTACATAATGGCGTATGTGACTGATGGGTAAATAAGTTGGCAGTAAATTTTTATTATAAAGTGAGAGTTATTAGATAAGCTAACACAGGTGAATAAAATGAGTAAAAGGAGCAATAAATAAACAAAGGCAGGATAGATGTTTGTGAAAAAGATATAGTTCCAGTAGTTTTCATTTTAAGCAGAATTGAATTTAATGCAAATTTGCATTTACTACTATATATAAAAGTTTTTTGTTTGTTTTTTGGAGTGACAGATGTGCAGTAATAATTTTCAGTGTTATGACCTATGAAATACTGCACAATCCTTCTAGAAATGTCAACCTTTATCTTAGAAAGGTAGTTTTGGCCACTAAAGTTTTTTAGCTTAATTTTATTCTGTATGTGCCGACATCAATGGACTACAAACTATATATTGTTTACCCTTAAGAGTCTTAAGAAAATAGCATCCATGTTTTGTTCAGATGTTTATCCAAAAGGCTTCATCTAACACATTTGTCTAGGTTATTTATTGTACCATAACCCATTACAGTATCTTTTAATCCAGGTGCACCATCTGTTAGGTCATTTTTTTCTGAGGTCTGAAATAGCAAGTGAAAAATAAAAAACAAAAAATGTTGAAAAATATTAAAATGTCAGATTTTTCTTCAAACACAACTTAGAATAATTTAACCAAAAGAACCATTTTCCACTGAGCTAATAATAAAAGCAAATACAAACCAGACAGAAATAAGGATTCCCAGACACATATGGGGGGAGGGGAGGGATTTATTTTATTTTTTATGGTACTTTGTTGTCAAATTAAGAACATTCTTTTTCATTTTGGACATCAATTAAAACCAATTGTTAACAGGGCACATCTATAAATATTTGGTGACATATCAGGGGGAAACAAATTAGAAGCCAATGGTTTTAGTCTGTTGCAATTTAGAATATGGAGACTTTGTTATGCAATTTGACTGGGGAAAAAAAACGAAGAAAAACCAAAAAGTGAAATTCTGTAAATTAAGAACACTGAGCAGAGTTTAACTTTCAGGTGGCGGAAGATCACCTGAAAGCTAAAAACAGCAAGTTGGTGGAAATCGGCGAACAAAATACAGGAGTAGGCACATTTGTCAACTGAATTGAGATCAGAAACAGTCAAGTTGATTCAAAACTTCAAATCCATACATAAGAAAGTCTCCATTAAGCCAATTTTTTTTTTTTTGTCCTTTTAATTTCATTTGCATCTAGCATCTTTCGTCCTACACTGTGTCATATAAAACAATAAAAAACGTGCAAGATCTCCGTAAAGATAACAGTGTAGGGTGCGGCATATGCTATAGGCGAGGGAGATTTTTTACGTTTTTTTAACAAAAATATTCTTCAGCATTGAAGTTAAGACATTTCCTTTGCATGTCTTATACATTCAGTGTTATTACTAAAAATACTTTTGCCAGACAGGCATCAAAGGTGGCCTGTAAATGTACATATGCTACAAGAACTTTTTACATTTCATTATATACATGGCTCCTGACCACAATAACAATCGCTTTGTTTTGTTATTTTCTATGCTGGCCATAAACAGCTTCAACTCTGCAAAGGGAAAAACAAAACAAAAAAACAAACGAAAAGAGTCTCAACAGAGGACCAAAACTCACAACAGTATTCATAAAGATAGTCCATTGCATTTCCATCATTTCAATAGCATCCCAACCTGCCATTTAGGGTAAGTCCGATTACAGTGCAAGAGGGTAAACAGGCAGCGGCAATAGGCAACAAGCGTGCCGATGATTGGATGGTCAGTAAGAGAGGATTTGTAAACAAACATCCGCATTCTGTCTCATGCAGAGACCCTCGGGCGAACCATCGCTAAAGTTAAAGCGCCTCCGTTCTCTCACTTCAGCACAAATGGCTGCAGCTCACAGGAGCACGTTTTGGTGCATACCTCTTCCGCAAGTTACAGCTGCACCACTGCGCTAAAGAGAGACACTGAGGGGTAGTAACAGTACTGATTGCAAAGATGAACAGCGAGGAAATGTCCACTCACCACTGAGGCAAAGTACAAAGAGTGGAAGTTATTGACCACACAGAGGGTGTGAAAAATATGCAGCAAAAACATTGCTTTGGTTACACAGTGCTTTCAATCGCAACAAAAGGACTTGTACAAAATAATGCTTTGATAGAGTGGAGCAGGCTTTGGACACTCAACTCCTATAGTGCATGTGCGCACAGCGCAAAGAAAAGAGAAGTACAGGAGTTGGTTGTTCAAGGCCTTTGTGCTATGGTCTCTTTATTACCCCTTGAGGTCAGTCTTTCAGCTTGTCCTGTACATGGCTAATAGCATGTCAAATAAAATAGCTTTATCCCTGCAGAACTGCAGTCGAGTGCCTTTTTCCATTCCAAACAAGGAAAGTGATATCTAGGAATCTGGGGAGGGGGGGCTTTAAAAAAATGCTACAAATATGAACCTGCTTTAGCACCTGAATCTTCGGAACTCACTCCAAAGGTTCAACTTCAAAACATGTGGAAATAAAGTGTCCGTCCAAAGAAATGGACCATAAAGGTGATGCATTTTACCTGACCTACAATAAAACCCCTATTTGAGGAAAAAGGACACTCAGCCTGCGTTAACAGCCAACACTAAAAAAGAACAAAACAAAACAGAAGTTTAAAAAAAAAACGGATCCAGTCATCACTTAAAGAAACTGGCTCTACTTAAGGCATTACCATCCAGCACCGCTAAGTGGCTGTAATATCTTTTATAGCTGTTGTTTTTAATTCATCAACAGTATTATATACCCAACTTTAAGAGGTTTTAAGCCAAAAATGACAAGAATATTACAACCACATGGCAACTCGAAAGGCAAATACCTAAAGAGAGTCGCAGTACATGGGCTCGATATAAATTTGAGGTGGATGTTTCGATCTTAAGCCTGCACTTTCAGGAGGCTCTTTAGCTGGAAGGCCATCATCTCCCTGTGATCACAGGATCCCATAGGGAAAGAAACCCAATGACTGGGGGGTTTGGGCAACACACTGGGTGAGGGGGGCTCACTGAACTTAGGCCCTGCATAACTCGGGCTACCCTGAGCTGCTAGCAGCGTATTAAGGTGAGACACTGCACCCTCCCAGTTCTGATCATAGGTGGTGGTCAAACGGATAGAAGCATTCTTCTCCGCAGACGCGGCCTGCCGTGCCTCCGGAGACCTGTGGTAGGTGGTGCCCTTGTCGTTCCGGCGGTGACCATGATGATGAAGGCCCCCCGCCCCTCCCATAGACACTACTACGGCTGCCGCTCCACTCTGGTCGCGGCTCCTCTGCTTGGCCTTGCCGAACTGGTGGCTTTTCTTGGGGCGTTCGGGGTGGGAAATTGGAATGTTGTACCTCTCTCCACCTCCCATGTTTCTGTACTACCTGTCACCTAAAGGATGAGATCATATAGTCACTTCAGTGCATAGTTGAAGAAACACATTGCATTCATGTGGGAAGTAACAAACATTGAACACCAATAGCGTAACTATCGCTAAGCAGACACTGCAGTTGCTTAGGGGCCCCGTCACTGAGACCTTGTTGGCCCCCATGCGGAATTGTGGAATAGGATGTTTCTTTGCAGATGTCATGGTGCAAAAACTCACCTGATACTAGACTACAACACATGGCAGATTTCAACATGATGGTGAGTCGCTTAAACACAACTCCAATAGCAAAGCAGACAGTGGTACTTTTAATTACTATGTTAATAAAATATTTAAACCGTAATAAATATCTTAAAAAAACAATGTACTTGAGTATTTTATTTTTTATAATTCGAGGAATTATGGGTAATCCAGAGCGTCAATTAAAATCATAACCGTTAAGTACAGCGCATTAGCAATGATGTGTTGTACTTCATATGGGCATATTTTGTCATGTCTTACGCCATTGCTTTTTCTTTATTAAATATCAGCTTCTTCTAGGAGTGGAAATTTCTTTGAAATCTGAAATAAAAGGTCTGAATGTCTACAATATTCATAAAAAAACAAACAGAATACCATGACAAAATGTGATGCAGACCCCTATCTTTTCAAATCTAAAGATATTTAGAAAAAAATCTGTGTAAAATTCAGCATATGAGGGAATATAGCCTATCCATCGAACTGGAAAACAACAACAACAGCACCAGCAGCAGAGTCTACGTGCAGGAAAGGCAGACATTCAGGGCCGCTCCACCCCTCCCCCACACCCAGACAGACAGACCAAGAAGCCAAACAGCCCCAGCTCACCTCTTTGTTGTTAGGCTGAAGACGACGAGATCTTGCTTTAATCTTTCACCACCAATCGGTCCCCAGGTCCTCGAAGTAGTTCTCTGTCTACTTCTCGCTGCACTTGTGAGTCCAGCAAGGTCTGAGTTTCTCATGTGCCAATGATCTTTGTTTTGCCGTGAAGCCGAGTTGAACATCAATTCACCTCGGCGCACGATTCTCAAAGAAGCCGAAGCTGGGGGGGGGGGGGGGGGGGGGGGGGGGGGAAGAATTGCTCATTAATGCGTCAAAAATAAAAACAATAAGGTCAATAATAGTAAATATACTTCCACGGCTAAACAAAGCATTAGCGAGGCTTTTGTGGAGAGTTTCGCCAAGTGCGTCATCAAGAAGACAATGCATCGAACACCATTCCTCCTTTCTTTTTTTTTTTTTCAATAATTACACGTTAAATACCGTAAAACATGTAATTTATAAAACCTTTCAAGATCTAACATAATAATACAGTTTAAAGATCAATTGTAAATAATTTTTTTATAGAAAAAATTAAAACTTAAATCACATTTTAATTTAAAACGTACTGTTATTAACTGATAAATACAAACACCATTATATTTAAGTGCATTTCAGAGTAACTTTGGAACCGAACCAAAACAAAGAAAGCTAATTCAATATGGCGACCGCGTAAAAAAACAAGTTCCCCTTACCGACTTCTTCAGGCTTTGTTGTTTAAGCCTTTCGTCAAATAATATGTATATATGTATAGGTAGCCTCGGATTCCCTTCGGCAGACAATGTAGGAAGCACAGCAAAACTATATTTCCTACAAATCCGTCACTCTCGAAGCTTAAATGTTGTTACTAGTGGCCGTAAAGGCGCCACTTCTCCCTCCCGACACTGAACTGCAACAAAATGGAATCTGCAGCGCATATATGTATTCCTTGTTCTGAAAGTTCTAACCAATCGCGTCGCGAGAGGTTGAGAGGACCGACCAATAAGCGACCGAGAAGCAAAGACATCTGCGCCTGTTGCCACAGCGTTGACGTAGGTTGGTGTTTCTCCTCCCATTTCCTTTGTTGGTCCTGCTCTCGGGTATTTCCTGAGTGAAGTCAGAAAAACAACGCTTAAACAGCCTCGAAAACCGCACAAATTTCAAGTTAAACATAACCAAAAAAACCAATTTGACACAAAACACCGTCACACGTATGCAGTGTCATAATATGAACTGTTATGTTTTTAATAAATACATTTAAGATTAAAATACTTTTTCTTAATTGTTTTTTGAACAGTTTCTTTTCATTTTTTGGTGGGGTGAATACTTATCAGTGTGGATTAAATTTGCTGTTTGATAGCAACAGGTTGTACTAAATCTTGTTAGAAAATGACCACCCCCCCCCCATCCCTGGTGACGTAATATAAGGCGATAAAACATGTTTCACTGAAACCCATTTTGAATTCTCTTTGTCACTTAACTAAAAGTTTCCACCTGTCCCATCTGTTTGCTGCTTGAAGTGATACTTTCTATATTTAAAGGCTGGATGTGACCATTTTTGTGAAAATCCAGTGTAAAAACTGAAGGGGTGTCTCACTCAGATACTATAGGATTTTGTTTAAGGCCTAAATATATGGGGCCTTGTGGCAAATAGTTTAAAATAATTTCGTGAATCTCGGTAAAGCTTTACCTTAGAACTTTTACCTGAATATTTCCCTTACTTTTTCTTTTTCTGCCAGAAAAATAATACCTTCTTTTTTGGGGGGGTTCTAAAACAGGTCCAAACTTAATCCACTGGAAAAATAAATTATAGTGTTTTTTTTATTATTATTATTATTATTATAAGAGATTAAAGCATTATTCTATATTTTGGGGGGCCTCAGTCAGACAGAATAGGGAATCTGAACAGCAATGTTTAAAATAGATTCTGGTTGGCTCTTTGAATAGAATAGAATAGAATAGAATAGAATTCAACTTTATTGTCATTACACTGTCACAAGCACAAAGCAACAAAATGTAGTTTGCATTTTTCCAGAGGTGCTATGCAGGATGAACTTACATGTGTACAGAGACTATGTATGGCCTATAAATAGTATATATAAAAAGAGAGTAATTGTAAGAGGCTATAAAATTAAGAATTATGGAAGCTATGTACAGATTATACAGGAAGTTAGGATATGGATTATATGTATATTTGGGGGGGTTATAATAGAGGATAAATAAGGACAGATAATAGCAGATAAAATATTTACAGATTATATACAGCTATAGTTGAGAAGTATGTGTGAGTAGTGTTGATTGTTGTGTCTGGACCATTCTAAGGCCCCGTCCACACGAAGTCAAACCCTGGCCTAAACGCACAAATTTTTCACCAAACCAGCCTCTCATCCATACGAAGCCGGCGTTTCGGGGTCTGTAAACGATCTTTTTTTTTATTAAGCCTTCAGAGTGGGAAGATTTTGAAACGCCGTTTTCGCGGTTCCATCTTTAAGCTCTAACCGCATTTTTTTTCTTACACGCATGCGTCATAGCATCGCCTCTAAACACGCATGCGTGACACAGTATCACAACAACAATGGTGCCGTACTGTGTTGAATGGTTGCTGCTCATGCTACTCACCCTGCTGTCGGGCTTACAACAGAATCTCCTTTTTCTGGAATATCTCCAGGAAGAACAGAGCAATATAGACGACATAGTTCATCACCTCAATTTGAACGAACCATCTTTTCTATTTGGTTCTTCTTCTAGGGGTTTTCCGGTTTGGTTGTTGTATAAATATTACTGCGCATGCCCAACATTCCGTTGCCTGTTTTCGCCTATTTTTGCTTTGGCACCACAGCGCCACTTACAGGCCTGGCATACATTTTGTAGCGTTTTCATGCATTCGTGTGGTCGATCACATTTATTTTACGTCTCCGTCTTTACGACAAACGTTCTGGAAAATATTAGCGTTCCGTGTTCGTTTTGACTTCGTGTGGACGTTTCGTGTTCGTTTTGACTTCGTGTGGACGGGGGCCTAAAGCATGAATACTGCATGTGTTGTTCAGAGTAGCTCTGTTCTCAGGGCCGTTCCACACCATTCAAATACTTCCTTTACCCCCTTTAGCCTCACTTCGCAGAAAAAAAAAATATTCTGCACATTTGTATTATTTCACCATCATGGAGGTCATGTATTCGGTAGATTTGCAGAGTAGATTTCCAATATATTCAGCAAGTATGCCCAAGTTTTTTGGACCCATCTGACCAGAGGATAGTCCTCCATATTTTTGCCCTGTTAATCTTTTTGGCTTGAAGCTATCGTTGAAATGTACCTCCTATCACTTTCTTTCAACAATGACTTTCATCCTGCCATTTTTCCATGAAGTCCAGATTTTAACATTAGTATATTTGTCAGCATATTTCCCCCCTCTGAACCTGTGGCGGTCCCCTCGGATCTTCCTGAGTTACAATCAGACTCTTGACCTCTTCCTTCTCCTCGTCTGATAAGTGGGACAGTCTTTCATCTTGCAGTTGTGCCATACTCTAAATGTTTATTGGCTGAATTTAAGAGTGTCTTATTACATGCTGAAGCTTGGAATATCATTTCATAATCTACCCCTTTAAAATCCACCACATCTTTATTTTATTTATCTGGAGCAGTCAATGGTCTTCATATTGCTGTTTATTTATAAGTGTTTTTCTAATAAACAACTGTATTCATTCTAAGATTAAACTACATTCTTTTTTTTCTTTTTTTAAACATAACACTATTGATTTAGCTTAGTGGTAATAAAGTAAAGGACACTGGTTCTAAATACCCTTCACACTCTTGGTTTTTATCCATTATTTCTGCTTCACAATTATGCAAAACAAAATAGTGGTTGTAAAATTATCAGATACAGAAACCTAACATGAAGTCTTAACTTTTTGTTCGTTTTACCATTGTGTTTTTAACATCTAACGCTTGTTTTCTTCTAGGCTGTTGGAGAACTTTGGTCAGTGACGTTACAGTCTACAGTAAAATGTTCTATTTTTTTATGGAAGTTCCAAGTCTACAGTGTGAAAGACAACCAGTATAAAAGATAAACTAAACTTTAAATCAACGGTCAAGATGGCTATTCTTATTTAAAGGATCTGAACTTTAAACGGGTTATGCAACAGTGTGTGATTAATCCAGCTGATGAGCTATGGGTGGGAAAGGGGGCGTGACCATCAGGAGTCAGCTATCTATGGAAAGTAGGTCACTGAGAGGTGTGCGTGGGTCACACACATCATATCTGCTTTCAAATGTAGCCATGTGTAGACATACTACACAGTGACCTTTAGATGAAAGGGAACAAAGCAAAGGCTGCTGGATTTTTACTCTTAAAAATAAAGGAGTGGATCTTGATCTATTGGTCATTTAAATGAGCCATTTATCTAAATGCTCTTCCTGAATTTGAATGCTCACAGTTAGCTGACCGGAGAAACACAAAGAGAAGTGGGAAATAACTGAAGTTTCACATGACCCATTGTTTAAAAATATTCAAATCTTTACTTCCCCAAAAAATAGTTAAAATTTTCTTGTTCCTTCTGACTTTGATGGAAATAGATTTCATTATTTCGTCAGTAGTTTTTTAGACGTCATTTTAAATTGTGATTCCCGTTTAAACATGTTTAACCTTTTTTAAACCCTTTATTATATATGTAAGTTTCAAAGTTTTCAGCTTGACAATTTTAGACTTAGATTTAGACAACTTTTATTGTCATTTCACGAAATATCATTTTGTACAGCTTTCAGACAGTGGATGAGCAGCAGCTTAGCTGTTGTATATAAAGCCTTTTTTTTTTAAGTACAAAAATTGTGATTTGTAAATAATTCTAATGGTGTTTTCACATTTGATTAGAAAACATCAAACTTGTTTGCTGTTTTAATGTCAGGGTTGTTGGATGTTGTTGTGGACCCAAATGTAGAGTAGATTAGGTATTATTGCAGTTTTAATGCTAGAGATAACATAAATCCAGAAATAACTAGCTGGGAACTTAGAAACCAAAAATCAGGGATGCTCAGGTGAAACATACAAGAAGAAATGAAGCAATGAAGATGATCCAGCAATGAGGAACTGCACAGGAGGTGTATAACAGATTCCCACTCTTCAGAATCTGTTAGTTCAGTCTCTGACGTTCTAATCATTAGGCAAAACTAGGCAGTGGTCTATGGCCCCAAGTTCCTGAGGGCCCCATAAAACTCTGTTTACATGTATGGTTAATACAACTATCCCTAAAAAGCCATCAGAACGGTTATAATATTAAGTCTGTTGTTTTATGCGTTACCTTATCAGTTCAGAAGGCCCCCTACCTGTCTTTGCCTAGGGCCCCAAATTTCCTAAATCCGCTCCTGCTGATATGGAGCCGGTGTGGAGAGAAGTAATTAAAAGGGAGATAGGTGAAAAGAGACTGGCACAAGGGGGCAAAAGAAAGTAGCTCAAAATATAACACTGCTTAAATATATCACAAGATAAAAAAACAAAACAGTGACCAACAACACAGAATGACATAAATACTGTAACTGAAAACTCAAAAAGAAACTAATAGATTTCACCATAGAAGTTTAATTTCAGTTTTTTGTTTTTGCTGTTTTGTTTTGTTTTTTAACTGCTTATACACGATGTGTATACAAAATCACAATAAAGTTTGTCTAAGTCTTAGATCCTCTTGTTGTTTGATATAAAATAGAGTTTTGGAAAGAAGCACTGAAAGAAATAACCATGTTGTGGCCCAGCTTTGATGACACAAAAAAAGTGGTAATCCACAAAGATGCACCATGGACTTATTTTACGCAGGCAAAAGAAAACTGTTCCAGGTAAACTCCATTAGCTTTCATAGTTTATTTTTCCTCAGGAAAGCAAACAATAAAAAAGACATTTCCTCCATGTTTGTCATGCGCTGGTAAAAAAAAAAAAAAAAAAAAAAAAAAAAACATACCCCCCTCCAGATGCATGCTGGTCCTACCATTGACTGTCTATTTATAAAAAAACAATTAACCTAAATTAATCATAACAAACCAAAAAGAAAGGAACATGACTAAATAACAAAAAAAAACATAATCTCATAACAGATATCAAACAATAAAGTAAAATAAATTTAGCTAGATTATGCACAAAAAAAAAACATTTTTAATTATTAACAAAAAATTATTGTCTCCTACAAACTATCTACCTCTAAAACAGTATTTTGAATCTCATTCTTCAACATATTAAATATTATACCATAGAATAATGCTTAGGAGTAACAAACTTTTTTTAATTTAAATTGCAGCGATATTTCCAAGTAAAGGTGACCTTTTAAAAAAAAAAAAAAATGGGATGTGTTGCTTCCTCCATCACTGCCATCTAGTGGCTAAATATAATAACAGCAGAGCAAAGAGTTATAAATAGATTACAGAAAAACTTCACAGAAAAGACAAAAAACAGACAGCCTTTCAAAGTCGTTCAGAGCAGTAAATTGATTTTAAAAACACCCTTTTCGGACATGAGGAAGAGGATCTACTCTTTCAGATTGTTTGTCTCCTTAGGTTCCCTTTTAAGATTAAAATATGAATGGAAACACATTAAAGGATGGAGGGACCAAGATTCATGCAGGACAACTGATAGAAACTGATGAAGAGCTCTGCTCTCTCTACCAAACAGCTTTTCTTTAAATATCGCCTCTCCTTTGTCTTTGGGAAGCTCTACTGTGCTATATATTTTATGTTGTTTTATAATTACCTCCATAGAACATTTTTACTGCATACCCAGCTCCATCTTGCCCACTTTCTATATTTGTTTTTTTTTTATTTTGTTTATTTCTAGATACATTTACCCACTTTAATATCTACACAACTGAATGCTGACGCAAGGAAAATCACATGAAAGTATCTCTAGAGGTTTAGGCACAGGCGTAACTTTCAGAAGGACTCGGGTGCACATGTCCCCACCAATAATTTCCTCTCTTTTTTTCCCCTTTCCACTGATTTCCTTTAGCCAACAGTGGTTGGGTGCAGCTATCTACGTTCCAAGCGTTTTGAGTCCATGTTTTTTTTCCTCTCTGGCGCTGCTCCCTTGTCCTGCCTCTCGGTGTAACATCATCGAATCTGTCGCCTTGAGACATCGGATTTGCGGTCACATTTCATTGCTTACACAGTAGCTACGTGGTTGGAGGAGAGAAGCACAGCAGCACTCAGTGAATATTAACCAGCAGCTACTACGATAGATGTTTAAGTAAAAGTTAGGAAACGGGTTGGTAAAAAAAAATTATAGATCATACCACTGAAAAATGTGTTTGTTTGACATATGGAGCTTTTTCAGCTCAAAATGGCAATAAATGTAAGTTTATACATGTTAGTATTATAACAAAAGAAGCTTGAGAAGCTTTAACTCTTTACGAGTTAAAAAAGTTGGAAAACATGTTTTCTTAATGTAGATACAGATTCAGACTGCAGAGCTTCCGCATATCTTGAAATGTTGTTTCTTGCATCATTGTATTAGTAAAGAGGTTCATGAATCTTTTTAAACAGAGCACAGATAGGAGCAAGGAGAGCTGCACATTTAAAGGGTAAACAGATTTATTGGGATATGCATCATGCAATAAAACATATTTCCAAGTTTACCAGTAAGTTTACAAAAAAAACAAACATGCTCTGCTATATTTAAAATGAAGCATATCCATACTTTGTGGATAGAATTGAAATTGTACTTCTAGGGATGCATGATATATCGATTTTGGCATCGCAATTGGCTTTTATTCGTTATTTTCTTTACATGTTTGGCCTTATATATGTAATGCACTAAAATGCATCTCTCTATCTATAAATATAAATATCAGTGTAATATAGTTCTATTGTGTTCTCAACAATAGGAAAGCATTCAATAAATATATGTTTGAGCTCATTTTTGGAAGATACAAAAACCTAATGAAAGCGTTCAGGTTGAGTAACTGTAGGTCCATCAGCCCCCACCCTTAGAGTGTCCCCACCAATTTTCATCACAAAGTTACACCCTTGGGTTTAGGCATTAGCTTAAATGCACTAATTTCAGTTCAAGCATCAGAAAACAGAAGAAAGGTCCTGTACAGTACATATCTTATATATTTAATTCAACAATGTCCTTACTCACCTTAAATGGCCTCCACAATTACCAGGTCTTAATCTATAGCACCAATGGGATGTTAGAATGGGAGATTTACGTCATGGATGTGCAGCCTTATGGCATAGTGCTACCATGCCAGATGTATCTCTAGTAAAACTAATAAGCGTCTTTTGGACTGTGGTGGGAAACTCAGCAACTATAGAAATAACCCCACTGGAAAGTACAAAATAGAGACTTTGAGTATGCAAATAACAAATAAAAGCTCCTTTAAGTCTTAATTGGATCAAGTTTTAAAAGAAAACATTGGATTTTATGATACTTTATTTGTTGGATGCATAAACCTAAAAAAATTATTGTTTTTCATGCTCTGTATCCACAAAATATAAAAACAACACAAAACGGAGAATAATCCAGCACAGTTGCAGTCTTTACCAGTTCATAATCACATTTTGTCTCTGATGTGTCATTTGATTTCCTCTGTTTTCACATCATTGATCTGATAGTGTCGCTCTAAGGTCTGGCTATCTGGAAATGAGGAGAGGAAATCTGATTAATGGATTCAAGCTGAATCAATCTGAAGTTGTAAGGCTGGTCCCCGATGCCAGTGTCCAGAGATTTCTAAAAGTGGGGTTATGTAACATCATGATGTAATCTAACAAATAATTGAACATTACTGGCTTTAGTCTGCCCTGTTGTCTGTTGTGTTTACGCTCCACCTGGATGGACAGCGACAAAGAGGAAATCTTATTGCAGCTCCTAATTGCATTTTCTGTCTTCTGGTCTGCTTCATCTCTTGAGTCACTGAAGAAGGCCAAGCTTTGAGCTCCACGTTATTAGTCTAATATTTTGTTGTTTTTTTTAAAAAAGCAACCCCCCCCCCCCCCCCCCCCCCCGATGTATATATATATTTCTTTTTGATAAATCTATCATCAGATTTATACTTTTGACCCATTTTTTTTGCTGTATTTGCTGGTTTAATGAGAACTGAGCTATTTAACATTCTTCCCACTAACCTGACAGGCAAAAATTAGGTTTGTAATTTATCTGGATTGCCTCAGGTTTGTGATTAATTTGTTATAGAAATAATGATCTTTCCTTATTATTTATTTATTTTTTTTTTACCCAAGAGACCAAATCTAGATTAAAAGACCTAAATTCTAAGCAAAACAGCTTACATCTAAAGATGGACAAAGCAAACGTCCAATTTCTTTATTAAGGCAGCATTTAAATAAATTAGGGGTTGTGTATTGTTTCCCCCTATTGAAATTTTCTTTGTATTATACCGTTTCTTAATTTAAAATATCACATTTACTTTTGGAATGCAATATATTGTATTTCATTACATATCAATCTACTTTCGATTTAAGAATCTGTGCCGATTTAAAAAAAGAAAAAAAAGTCCAATTCCCGTTCTTAAGAATAAAAATGTTTCCAAATACTTTCTACGGTAGAACATACAACTTTGCAAATATTGGTGCTTTGAAGTTACAAGTTAAAATACCCAAAAGATGATGTTACCTGAAATGCATTTTTGCTGCCTATAGTAGATGCAAAGTATTGCATGATTCAAATATGCATGACTAACTTTAGTTAGTTTACACTACCTTAAGTCCATCTTGCTTAATTGTTAATTTGCAAACCAACAAACAAGCTTTTGTTTGCCTTCCTGGCTGTATTTCTAAAAATTCTATAAATATGATAATCATTAGAGAAATGTGATGATTTTAGTAAGCATAGTATAGTAATTCAATAGTGAATTATGTTGATATCCTTTATTTTAGTTTAATAACCAGAATCCAACTGCAGACTCTTTACATCTGAATGTCTTGTCTTTCATCTCTCTCTCTCTCTTCGTACCTCCCTTCTTTCACTTCTGTCACCACAGCCACCCCCCTTATCATCTCCACTCTCACACGCCACTGTCATGTTTGTTTAGTCCTGTTGCTAGTGTCACCGGGAACATCAAATAGAACCATTTTCAGGTTTTCAAAAGGGAAAAAATATTAAGGTAAGCATCTTAAAGGCTCTGTTTTACAGTGTTTAGGTTTTGCCTGACACCGATTGAAAAGTAATATTGTCTGATTTTTATTGTTCTTTCTAAATACTTTAATGCTGCCTTAATGTTTCTTTATTATTATAGTCCTGTTTACTGTTGATAACAGTTATTCGTAGTTCTATCCCCCTTAAGTAACAATAAAATGTGAATTCTTCTATGTGTTCTTGATTACATTAGAATAGCTAAAACTGTCTATGTAAATGTCCTTCTAGAAATAGTCGTAAATGCTAAAGTATCTTTTGAAAGAATTAGTGCTTCTTACAAGAACCTCATATTAGTCAATAATGTCCTTTAAAGGAACATAGCTTGTGTAACATGAGCATTTTGAGGTTTAAGAAAGTAATTTCTGCTTTTTATAATGTATTACTCTACAAGAGCATCTGTAAAGTCCTTTGAGATGGTGTGTGTGATGAATTGGCGCAGCATAAATAAAATTGAACTGAAATGTATAAAGCATGAACTTCACGGATAATGTTTTATCTACTGATAGTATTCCTGCAAACCACCTATAAACTTTATCTATATATTTGGTAGCAGGATGCATGAAAGATGTTTCATTTATTTACTTTACGGTAACTTGACGTTTTGAACCTAATACATTTCGTAGCACTTTGCACCCATAGGTCCTTTTGGTCAAATCTAAGACATAAAGGAAGAAAAAAAAATTCTTTAATGCATGCAAAAACCATCCGGAACAGTATGGCGATAGCTATACACTATGGGTCAAAGGTTTTATAGAACATGTTAACATTTTTCTTGCAAATAATTCAGTGAAGTAGGCCATTGCATAAAAGCATAGTTAAAGAAATGTAAGTTAAAACAGAAATAATGGAATAATTATATATACCTTAGAGTTTTCGTAAATCTGTTGCAAAAGTTTTTTTTTTTTATGGGAGTTAAATGTCAGTGTGTCATGGCCCAGGCAAGCCTCTTAGTCATGTTTTGACATTTTAGCAAAGATTTGAACCCGCAACTCTTCCTGTCAAACCTGCAGCTCAAAATCTTTCTTCACATTAGAACTTGAGACTTTCTTACCCTAACTAATATTAAAGCTTTGATTGGAGCTGTCAGCTCAGAGTTGTGGCATTTGGTCTGCCAGCCTCTTCCTGTCACTCTTTCCCCTAGTTTCTGCGTGCCATTTGTTCTGAAGAAAACTGTAGTTTCAACGCCTTGCTTCTCTTTGTAATTTTAAAAAGGATAAAACAAAATCTCTTCCATATTTAATTATCTTTGCAGATAGTTTACAGCACACCGTTTTCTTCCTTATGATACTATTTAAATGATGCACAAGAGAGAATGGTACCACGTGTTTTTACACTGCATTTATGCAGAAAGAGGGAGTTGTACGCAATAAAGAAATTCAATTCAATTCAATTCAGTTTATTTATATAGCGCCAAATTCACAACACATGTCATCTCAAGGCACTTTACAATGTTGGAACACCTGTAGGAATTAATAGCACCAGCTTTTATGAGTTAATCTGGCTTTATTAATGCAGCACGGCTTGGAATTGAAAACAAATTTTTATGTACAATTAAAAAGTAATCTTTGTGCAAATCTTTCAGTTTGTGGTAACTTTACCAGATACATTTCTTCCATTTCAAGATTTTTATTGGATTTGAAAAACTACAGAACCTGAAACTTGGTGGGTTGATGTCTCAAAACGTTTGACAGTTAGCTTAAACCTAATTAGAAACAAAACTCTACTTAGCTATACTTACTTTTTTATTGCAAAATTTGACCAGGACTTAAAAAACTCCTGGCCAAAAAAAGTGTGCTGTGACAAATCACACGTGAATGTATGAGACTGATAATTGTTACCACAGAACCACATATTCGATTATATCTCGTCCAGTCAGCTCCTATGCATTGAAAACATCCTGCACATTTTCTGCCTAAGTCACCAAGCACACCGGATGTGGCCCAAATTACATGGTCTGGTATACAGTTGGCCTCTCTAAAGCAGACGCCTGGAATCCCTGCTCTACAGATGGTCCTTCATGATAGTTTATTGAGCAAGCAGAGGTTTTTTTTTTTTTTTTGTGGTCTAATATTTAACAATGAGTCCGGCTTTGATAGGTATAATTAATAATTCGTCTTTATCATTCTCAGTAGATTTAGAATGACTAAACTAGAAGTTAATAGTTTGGTCTGATGATGGTGCTAGAGGTCAGGCCAAGATTCATTATTACTGTTTTATTTAAAGAAAAAATAGACAAAGAGCCTGTCTAAACAAATAGATCAACCTTTGTAAATATTTTTTTCAAACCAAATATCCCTACGGTAAGAGACTAACAAGAAGGGTAAAATGTGCAAGTAAAAACTAAAAATAAATGGAAGGGAATTTTAGGGGTGTCCCAATCCAGTATTACTTTCGCTCAGATACCAGCCCTGCATCTAAGATTTCCATTATAAGTATGCTGATAGATGCATTTTAATCCAATTCTGCTTTAAATTTATAACCCATAGGTTAATAACTAATGTTCACTATTGTTCTTTGTTTAAGTAACATAATTTGATCAAGCTTTTTCTAACACACCACAAATACATTAAAAGCTGTATGTATAATCTGTGATGATATTGTATCATATTGTACTCAAAGCTGGAATATCTGTATCATACCAGAAATGAATAAGTTGTATAAGGACGAACAAGAAGTAATCGAGTCACCAGATGAAAGACTTAAGTTACTCATCATTCATGAAAGTCTTTCTTAGCTGTATGAACAACTATAGAGCATATCCACACCTTCAACAGTTATTTTAAACCGTACATCAAAAATATCAACTTCATTAAAGTGTTTCCCCTTCTTCTCCTTTCTAGCTCACATCTGAACAGTTTGGACATGTTTAACCTTCACCACCCTGACCACAACCTCTGTTTGATTTGAGGAAATTTTTCTTCAGTGTGGTGTTTTAGTGATGTGAAATATGTCATTACGCCAGATGTAACTGTAACACAATCTCCTTAGAGGTTACAGAAAATGTCTTTAGTAGAGCCATCATGAGAATACAGTGAGTTTTCCACCACAAGTCCTTGCTTTGAAATTTGTATATTTTGGGGACTTTCAGTGGTTTTATCAACACTGCAGGCTTGTCTTAAAAATGAGCAATTGATTAATTTCCAAATTTCCTCATGTTACTTTCCAATAAGACATTAAGGTACTGGCTGAACGTCCTTACAATTGGAAAGGGGCTTTTATAATCACATGTATAACACTACCAGTACTTGGAAATGTCTGGAGCTCTTTCAGTGTTGGTTTTTAACCCGAGTCAGTTTTTCTAAATAGTTTACATCTTATCAAATTTAGAGAAATAACCTGTTTTTATAATGGGCATTTTTCCCTTAAATTAGGGAGCACAGTTGCCTTGCAGAGAGGAAGTTCGATTCCCGGCCTGGGGTATTTCTGCATGGAGTCTCCATGTTCGCCCCATGCATGCATGGGTTCTCTCTGGGTACTCTGGCTTCCTCCCAGAGTCCAAAAACACGACTATTACAATACTATTATACAATTGGCTTTTCTAAATTGTTCTTAGGTGTCAGTGTGTGCATAGTTGTGTGTCTTTGTGTGCCTCTGTGTTGTCCTGCGACAGACTGGTGAATTGTCCAGGGTGTATCCTGCCTCTTGCTCATAAACTGCCAGCAATAGGCACCATCGTGCCCCTGGTCCCTCCATCCATCGCGGAGACGATGGATGGAGGGACCAGGATGGAGGGATTTTTTTTAACCTCATCTAACAGATGTCTCCCACTGAACCTTTGCAATCTGAAAATGGATCAAATAGTGCTAGAAAAGGTATTTGTTGAAAGGGTTTAACACTTTCTCAACCATCTCATTGTAGACATTTAGGTGTATTTAGGTGTTTTTGCTTGTTTTCTGTTTTGTCAGAAAAGTGATAATAGTTTGAAGTTTCTATCACTAAAGGATGGGAGATTTAAGAGGGCTTTATTTGAACTTAGTTATTATCAAACTTTTCTCATAGAAGACAGAAAAAAAGCTGTGTTTTTTGTAGACATGCATCGATCAGTGTAGACATGCATCGATCAGTGTCTAACATAATCAGACAAGGAATGGTGGTCATGATACACATGTGTGTTTAGGTCCAATTCAGCGGTTGAATTTTAAACTGCTGATGAAGTTAAGCTGAGAGAAAAAGAATAAGTGCATCTCATTTGGAGAGTACTTAGCAGCTGACCAGTCATAGTGGCAATCCAGTTTTGGATCAGATAAATGGTCAAGTGTATCTAACAGATGAGGCAGTGGGATGTTCTGTTGGGAAACCGTGAGTCCTGTTTTTTAGAATTTCCTGTGACACATTTTGGAAGCCTAAGCACTGACCATGTACACCCTTTCATGGATGCATCCTACCAGGAAGTGCAATTCATTCAAGAAATGCTTGTAGGGCACAACAGTGAAATAATTTAAAGTCTGAAGTCTCATCCTGTGTAAGAAAGTCAAAGTCATACATCCCTCACCTTGAAACTTGTAGGATCTAAAGTATCTACTGCTAACATTAAGCCTTTCACTCCATGGCACCGCTGTGAACAGTCTACACCAGCTGCTATGCTTAGTTGACTGTGTGGACTCTTTTAAGAAGCATTTCAAAGCTTTCTTTTTTAAACAGGCCGTTTATATATCCCAAATTTGAACTATATATTGTTATAATTGTGTGTCTTTTTTTCAACATGTTTTTTGCAGGACTGCTCAGTTGCGCAGTGGCTAGCACTGCTGCCTTGCAGGTTCAATTCCCGGCCCGGGATCTTTCTGCATGGAGAGAACCCACGCATGTTCTCCCTGAGCATGCGTGGGTTCTCTCCGGGTACTCTGGCTTCCTCCCACAGTCCAAAAACATGGCTTTTAGGTTAATTGGCTTCTCTAAATTCTCCTAAGGTGTGAGTGTGAATGGTTGTTATTCCTGTTTGTCTCTGTGTTGCCCTGCGAAGGACTGGCGACCTGTCCAGGGTGTCTCTCGCCTGTAGACAGCTGGAAGTAGGCACCTGCACCCCACTCGGTATAAAGAGTGTCAGAAAATGGATGGATGTTTTTTCCAGATGATCCTTTAGACAAGGATCTCCTGTGGCAGAAGTTCTGGAGAAGCCTCTGACTGAATACATTCTGTTGTATAACAGTCTGATGAAGAGGTTGGTCAGGGTTTGTCCATCATTTTATGAATAATTATTTTTCTTAAGATCGTCTACAGAGATTCTAGAGGAAATGTAGAATAATCCATACCTCATTGGGTCAGGGCTATTTTGGCAACACAATATATGGCACATGGTCATAATGGCAAATTGGTTGAATTGAGATTCCTGGAGGGTGTTACTTAGTTTCAATTTGAATTTTTAAAAGAACTAAAGCCGCTCCTAAAGGTTTGACCAGCTTGTTCTAACATATAATTTTGAAACAGACAAAATTACAACAGTGTAAGCTAAAACAATTAGACATGATAATAATAAAAAAGTTACAGTTTTGAATATAAAATCTGCAAAGCTGAAATTGTGCCATCAATCCAGAAAACAAAGCTCTGCTCTTCAGCAGATATAAATTTGTATTTTAACTATTTAGGCAACCAACTACTGTATCTTATGAGAGATATTTAAATGGGACAAACTGTAATATTTATTATTATCTGATTCAAAGCTTTGCAGCAATATTCTGTTAAAATGGAGGACATGACAGTCACAGTATTTTCTGAAATACTTGTATATTCCAAGATAAAAACAGAGAAGACAGAAGTTGAAAACCTTTATTTGGAGTCTTGTTCTTATCTCAGTCATTTACAATATGAAAGCAGTGTTCCTATTATTTTACAGTGGCTGAGCTATTTCATTGTAAATAAAGAAAATTCAAGGACAGAAAAAAACTAAGGGACTCATATTATGTTTAAATTTGATAGATCCATATGAATTCATTGATAACATAGTGGAAATTTTGGCTATCAGGACACAAAGAGATGTAAACTATAATCAAGATTATCCCACTATTCTGTGGGATACTCCAGCTCATTATTATTTTTGTCACTAAACTGTCACAAGTAAAGAGCAACAAAATTCACTCTCTGCATTTAACCCATCCTCTTGGGGTGCATAGGGCTGACATTGACACTGTGGAATTAAGAGTCTTGCTCAGGGACCTAGGGTGGCAGTCTGTGAGAGTGGGGCTCAAACTCAGAACCTCAGGATTCAAAGCTCTCCCTAACCACTGGGCCACCACTCCCAAGAGCCACATTGAGAGGGCATTTAAGTTATTCGGAAAAACAAAAGCAAGGTATGAAGCCTGGACATCTGACAATGTGATGAGCCGTGTCTGTATGCCATTGCCTCTAAATGAATCTTCACTCCACTCTCATATTATGCCTCATACTGTATAAGCTCCTGAATCTAGAATAAATATTGAACATGAAGGAATGAGCAACCACATTCTCATTTTTATTTATTTTCCCACAGGATGTTCCTGTTGTGGTCAGCCTGATGTAAAATTCTTAAGGTAAATATTTTTAATCTGCTCAAAATGCTATTTAGAAATATAAAGATATGTAAGGACTTCTTGCTTTAGATAATCATCAGTGTCTTGAATATGTTATAGATCAGAGCCTGACATATAAAATGGGGAACACAGAAGGATTGACCACATCACCAAAAGGTATGTTAATTTAAGTGAACTTAAAGTTAATGGAATGGCTCCACATTTACTATGAATCAGGGATTATTCAACTACTAATAAGTTCTTCTCAGTGACAAAGCCATTTTCATTTAAATAATTCAGTATGAAAAGTGGTTCTTTAATATATTACATATATTTATCCCATACTGTTACATATTTAAGTGTATTCTGTTTGTGTTTACTGTTTTGGCTTACACTTTCATAAACTTCAAAATTTGGTATTGGAATAACTGGAATATTAACTAAGATCAGTTCAAATAGAGTAGAAATATCTGATTCAAAGGGATGTTTTTTGTCATCTAGGGTGTATGTACTCAATACTTGGTTGGGTCTCTTACTACATCATAGTATGAAGGTAATCCGCCTGTGGCATTGCTGTGTAATGGAAGTCAGGGGTTGCTTTGGTATCAAGTTATCTCTGATGCTGAGATTGCGTGTCTCTAATCTTCCCAGACTCAGGGACCATTAGTGGCTAAGGAAACCTTTGCAGTTGTTTTTGGTTAATTAGCTACAGTGACACCATATTCAACAGTTTAACAAGATTCAATTTTATCGGGATGATGAAATTCGTGTTTCATTTTTTGTAAGCCATAATTATCCAAACTGCAAGAAATAAATCCTTAAAAGAATAAATCCAGTCGGTCAAGTACTTCCTGTTTTGAAGGTATTTCATTTTTCTTAAGATTTACATTTTCCAATTTTATGAGAAGCTGTTGTGTTATTTTTTCTCTTCCAGACAACACGTCTTGTAAAATTCTGGAGGACTACATGGTGCTGACAGAGCCGGAGAAGAAAGCCATTGGCACCATTTGTTTGCTGGCTGGCCCAGCAACACTGATGGAGAACGTTCTTGTGCTTGGGCTTATTGCCACCTCAGTGACGCTGAGAAAGAGGCCCTCCTACCTGTTCATTGGCAGCCTTGCTCTGGCAGATGTTTTCGCCAGCTGCTTCTTCACCATCAGTTTCCTGGACTTTCATCTGTTCCAACGCTGTGACGGTCCGACTGCATATCTGTTTAAGTTGGGAGGCGTTACCATGGCTTTCACTTGCTCAGTTGGGAGCTTACTGCTGACTGCTCTGGACCGATACCTCTGCATCCACCAAGCATCTAGCTACAAGGTCCTGCTGACCCGACGAAGGGCCCTGCTGAGTCTCCTGGTTCTCTGGAGCATCACTATCTTCATCTCTTTCTTACCACTCATGGGCTGGAGGTGCCCAGAAGTAAGAACACCCTGCTCAAGCTTGTTCCCCTACATCAGCAAGGGCTACCTGACCTGTTGGACTAGCTTTATTCTGGTGCTGCTTGCACTAATTTTGGTGGCCTACGCTCTGATCCTCTGGAAAGCCCATCGTCACGCATCCTCCATGAACAACCTCCAGGGGGCAGCAGGTAAAGGTCAGGCCCGGATGAGGATGGATATCAGGCTGGCTCGTACTTTTGGGTTAATTCTCCTCATACTGGTGGGAAGCTGGCTCCCTGTACTCTCCTTCATGCTGGTTGATGTCTCTATGATCCTGAATCATACCCAAAAGAGGGCTTTTGCCTTTTGCGGCACCCTCTGCTTGGTCAACTCTGCAGTCAACCCGTTGCTTTATGCCCTGCGGTGCAGAGAGTTAAGACTGGCTCTGCTGCAGTCTCTACAAAGGCTGTGTGGCTTTGGCAAGTGTCTGAAATCTACCAAAGCCTTAAATCCCACACTGCAGACGACAGAAGACAACTGTCCTGCAGAATCTGACGACGATGCGCTGGCAATGACAACTCGACTTGACTCCATCTCTGAGATAGTGAACAATCAGCAGGGTTAAAAAACAAAAGGGACCACTAAAATGAAAAAAAGAAACTCAGATGGATTAAAAGTTTAATGGCAATGGGCTGTTGGTGGAGAATGTCTGTAAAACCTTTATAATGACATCATGATTTCTGTGTCTTTGATATATAAATGACAAGTATAATAAAAAAAGAAACTTTTACCTTTTTTCTTATAAAATACTTAAAGTCATTCTGGTTTAAGCATGTATATAAATGTATTCTTTATCAGACCATACTGTCCCAAAAGTTAGAAGATTTATATTTAAAAAAATCCTGTTTTAAAATCTGTATTTTTTTTGTTTTGTTATTTTATGCAGGCCAGTTAGTTATATGTCAGCTTGAACACCTAAATTCAGCGAATCATATATTAACAGTCATCTGTCAATCATATTTTTTTTGGTCATAGCATCTTGATTCATATGTCGCAGCTAATATACGCAACGGTTGAAATAATAAATAAGAATAATTTACTTTGCCATCGAGTTCCGTCCCAGTGTTCACAGGGATGGACATCTGTATCTTCAGCAGGTGTAGAGCTAACAGAACTGGTGGGGTTGTGAGGCAAGGGGTCAAACATACGGCTGTAAGCCTTCGACACCAAATGAAGCTTCTGCTGCCCTGGCATCCTCTTCCACAACATCTTTGTCCGCACTTTCCTCTTCTAAATAAAAAATGTATGACGGAGGAGACTCATCCACGACCTCCGACCTCAAACTGTCCTCTTGCATGTTTCCGCTGTCCATAGCATTCCTTAGTATTAGCATTACTAAGTGCTACTTGGTCCCAATTTAATTTTCCATCACTAGCACTAAGTTGCTAACTGGTTAGCAAGATGCTTCCGAGACATCGGCCACAACCAAACGTGCTTGCGAACCTTCTGCCACAACAATCCCGCCCCCTTGATAATCGACCAATCACATTCACTTTATTCACTCGTGTAAAGTAAGGCACCACTCGGGAGAATTTGGAACTGCAACCATTGGAACGGCGGCTTCCCTACGACTTTAAGAACTGTATGGGACATTTAATTGTTCTTGTTTTATTAATATTGGATATATGGGAATGCGAACCATGCTTATGAGGGAATAAACATTATTTTGCCTTGATTACCTAAGAAAAAGTCCAGTACAAACAACTGCCTTTAACCATCACAAAATCTAGTAAATGAAGATGATGGGTGCATAGTTCAATCTTAGTGTATAGTCAGCAGTTGTGTGGATGGTTCTGAGGCAAGCATCATGAAGGTCTACAAACACACCAAACAAGTCTGGTACGAAGTTATACTAAAGTTTAAAGTTGTAACAGGTTGTCTTTATTAGATTTCCACACTGAAAAGAATATGGAACAACTGTAAACAGCTACCAACATCTGGTATACTGTCCACTAAAACTGATGTGTGTAAATAAGTGAATTCGAGATATCCATTGTAACTTTGGATGAGCTGCAGAGTTCTTCACTTCAAAGATAAAGATATTTTGTGCAATCAAATCTAACCACAATGGAAACAAAGCAGAAGCATACTGTTATTGACGAGAGTTAATATTAATTTTTGTATAAGCCAGAGATGTTCAAAGCTGATTGAAATAAACGCTTTTCTTCTTTCTATTTTTTGTAAGGGTAATATTAGACATAGAACAATTATTCTTAATGTGGTGGCTTTTTGTTAGAAAATAAATATCTTCTAGCTATGTAATTTCACTGAGAGTACATCTACAAACCTCCAGTGACAGAAATGTAATTCTTGCTGATGAAAATTGAGCAAAACCTTCTTGCAGAATCAAAACAATAAACCTATGTCATAGAAAAATGTTTTAGTAGGCATTTTTTTTAAAGAGGGAACAGTTTTAGATCAATTTTTGGTTTTCTTTTTTGGACATTAGTAAATCAAAATCTGTTTACTTGAAAATCTGATTGCATTGTTTCATTTTAATACATATTCTGTATCTCACTAAATTATTTTTTGACATTTTAAGTTGGATTCCCATACAGGGAAGAGACAAATATGTTGTTCTCTCCATCTCTCAAACTGAATGTATTTAGTTACTTTACGCGGAAAGTAGGACTTTCTGGATTGCCTGTTATATCTGCACATGAGTGCAACTTCCTCACAAAAGGTTAAGGCACATAACAGTTTTTTTAATAAAATGCTCACCAAATTTATCTCACCAAAGTGCTACATCAAATGGGGCACATGTATGCAAGCACAGACATGAGAACCTTTACAGAAAAACTGTTTTTTAAGAGTTACAATATCCACAAAGCATGTTGTATCTGAATAATAATAAAGTTTGTTTATTTTGGATTATTGGCTACAGTTAAAATACAGCCGGTTCAAAACATCTGTTTAACATCCCTTAGTTTCAAATCCACATGGCTTGTGAACAGAACTGTTTTAGCCTTTCTGCTTTCAGAAATTATCTAACATATCGATACAAATTTGTGCAATATTGTGTTTGCATTATTACATATTCTATATACTCTCAAAGAGTTGTTTTCACAAAGTAATTAAGTGAACCATTCAAAAACAGTTCTGATATTTAGTATTTTTAAGCTCCAGCTATCGACAGGCGAGAGGCTGGGTACACCATTGCAGGGCTACACAGAGATAAACAACCATTCATGCACACACTCACATTTAGAGAAGCCAGTTAACCTAACAGCCATGCTTTTGGACTGTGGGAGTAAGCTGGAGTTTGCATGCTCAGGGAGAACATGCAAACACCATAAAGAAAGACCCCCGGCCGGAAATCGAACCCCAAACCTTCTTGCTACCCATTTTGCTTTCCTTTTTACTAAAGTATAGCATAATAATATGTTCGGAATCAGAAACATAAAATACACCATTTATTTCTTCACAGATGGTCAAGAGGTAGTAAAATCAGCGTTTTCCTTAAAGGGAGTGAAGTATTATATTGGAAATACTTGGATAATCAAAAACAGTGCAGATATAACAATGTGGCAAGAATCTTCCTATTATGGAAAAAGGCACCTACACCGCACTTATCATTTTTGCCAATTTTCACAACTGAAAGTCTTGTTTTTAATAAAATCTAATCTCTTTATGGTAATTCTTCTTAACCTTTTTGATTCTTTTGTCTAATTTTAGCCTGTGTGATCTTGTTAATTTGCATTTTTTGAGGGGTTTTTTTTATCTGTAGGCTCAATGTCCCTTAAGCTGGGGAGATAGAATGTCTAATTTTAAAACCTAATTTCAGCTCATTCCAGTTTTTAGGCCAAAACATAAAACGTGTTATGGTGTCAAGTTAACTTCCTGATATAATGATACCCATTTTAGATAGAGAAAACACCTAAACAATATAGCGGATTGGATTTTGCCAAAGTAAGTTATATGGCGTCCACCCAAGAAGCCGAAGATCAGGCTTATTTTACGTAGACTTCTCAATTATCCTGTGCAAAATCCTAAATAGTAAAACGGAATGACAGAGATACATTTATTTAATCAAAAAATAGTTCACATTCTATTTTCTAACTGAATCCTTAATCAAGATTCACACGATAATTTGTACTCGTTTTTAAAAAGTGGTTAGAATGATATTTCCTATTTTGTAAATTTTTTTCTAATGCTTCTAATAAATCAGTGACATCAAGTAATTTAAAAATCATACATTTAAGCTTTTCCCAGTTTCCTTATTCAGCCCAACTCAGTCTAACTCTGTTGTAATGCTTGCGCATTATATATTTTCCACCAACAAATTCGGCTCTTTCCGATTATGATCCTTTAATTTCCAATATAATACGTAGGTATTTAATTGATCTTTTTCTTTTTTTCCCTACTTCATCGCATCCACCAGACGTCTCATGAACCCTGCATTTAAGTTCAACTGGAAGAGTAAACAACATTACCGGGGACCAAAGGACCGGAAGTGAAATTATAAAATGCGATATAAAAAAGGAGAGGCGGTTTTATTGATGGGGGGCTATTTTACAATATCTTTTAGGCGTGTATATACAATTTTTATAAGTAAGAATGCTATGTAATATACATTAAAATTATAACAATTTCAAATACACCCTCTTTTCGTGCAGTGGTACGACCCACCATTGTGACGATTTAAAAATTCAGTAGGCAGGCAGCGTCGGCTGTTACTACTCCGAGCCGAAAGTGCGTGTTGTGGAGGAGAAGAAACGCAAACGAGTAATTCAAGGAAACATTTTTAAAGGCAGCGATAAACCCCATAACTGCGGGTGTTTTTTCTCTCTCTACTGCTACCTTCTCGGTTTGTTTTAGCCAACATGGCTTGCGGCGCGACGTTAAAGCGGTCGATGGAGTTTGAGGCCCTCCTCAGTCCCCAGTCTCCCAAGCGGAGAAGGTGCAACCCACTACCGGGGACTCCGACCACTCCGTCCCCGCAAAGATGCAACCTCCGTACTCCAGTGGATAGCCCGGGTCACTCGGTTTCTCCTCAGCCCATCGGAGGCGAACACAGGCTTACTCCAGGTATGCAGCTGTATCAAACGTATTTTCTCCGGTTCAGGGTGGGTGTCATGGGGGGAGGGGGTTTGGGTGGAGAGGAAGAATCAGAATGGGGGTTGGAGGCTAAACGTTAGCCGGCCTCGGCTAATGTCAAGAATGGGAATCTCGTTAAGGGATGTTCGCTCGCATGTGGTCGCATTTATTGTTAACACCTTGCATTTTAGAATAAAAGTAAAAGTAAGTTCATAGCGTTTGGTTAGTGGCGTTTTGCCAGCTTCTAATACTCTGCTGTGTTAGCTTACCCTGGCTAATGTTGATTTGTTAGGGTAATTATTGCCTTTGCTTGATATTTAAAATCCTGTGTTATGACTGTTTTATAAACACAACTTTTATCAGCTTTGCTGCATCCTTTCCAGTGGTACCAGACAACTGAATGTTTCGTCTTTACAATTTAAAGTTTTTTTGTTGTTTTTTTTAAACGGCCTATGCTTTATCACCAACTGTTTGGGCACGAAACAAGCCTTGAAACCTTTTCAACAGGGCTTGAATGTGAGGAAATCTGCCCCCAAAAAGTAATCACAACAGTCCTTGATTTTATTTTAAATTGTTTGACCTTTTGTTTTATGTTTTGTTTTTTAACCTAAAAAGGTTTATTGTTGGATTGAAAAAAAAAAAAAAAATACTGTTCCACGTGCCAGCTTCATAAACAGATCATGCATAGCAGGT